TGTTAGACTTGAGCCGCTTTTCGATTGATATCATGTAAAACATGCATATTGTGGAAAATGCGTATCTCACAGACACTTGATCGAAAACTTCTGAAATTTTGTGTATAAGCTAGTCTCACTGAGACCTTCATCTGGGCATAGTTTTCAGACCAAAATTCGACAAGAGGATTTTATCGAAAAATTGGGTCCTCACAGGAAAAATCCACTAAAATGGTAATATCTCGGTCAAATCTCAACCTCATCCCGAACCCTTTGGAGTTTGTTCTAGTCTATAGGTCCCCTACCACTGGGCAAAATATGGACTCAAAAGCTTTTAATCACCTGGGGACCTTCCCTCATAAGTGTTTTTGTGATCTTACCTTGTGTTGCTGCCAGTTGTTTTTGCTTCATCAATTAATTTTATCAGTTCTAAGCACAGCGGTCGTTTTTCTGGATTTTGATCCCATGAAATTGTAATTATTGATCGATAGCTATCGGGAGTGTCCAATGGAATGTCAAGTCGTTTTCCATTCGTCACATGTGCTAAAATCGTTACATCATCAGCATATTCCTGATACGGCAAATCGCGTGATGTTAATTCCCAAAATGTAATCCCGAGACTATAAATATCCGATTTTACCGTGTGTGAACCACCCATTGTAAACAATTCTGGCGCTTTCCATGGCAATGAGCCAACTGTTGTTTTATCAGTCACTTTTGATTGTCGTGCACTTTCCTGTTTGATTTCCGACAAACCAAAATCGCAAACCTTTACAATTAAGTCATCAAAACGTTTTGTTAATAGAAAGTTCACTGATTTAATATCTCGATGTAGAATAGGCGGGTTTAATACATGTAAATAGTTTATTCCTTTTGCCATTTGTAGAGCGATGGACCACCGATCAGGCCAAGCGAACGGCGTGTTTAATTTTACGCTGAAGACAGAACCTAGTGGCATATACTCAATAACGATTGCATAATAGTTCGGTTCCATACATGCACCCAAGACATTAATAATGTTTTCATCACGTAAACGATACATTAATGAGAGTTCGTCAAGGAAGCTTTGCTCAACATTGTAGTGTAAATGATTAATACGGATATGTTTGATAGCTACAGTTTTAGATTGGCTTTTCCAGGTGCCACGATAAACGTCGGCAAAGCTACCAAATCCGACCCGATCCTCAAATACAAGATCGCTTATCGAAATTTTCAAATGTTGAAATTTTTCTTCTAGTGGTCTTTTTTGTTTAACAAGACTATCGTCTTTCGCTTTTTCTATGTCATTCTTTAGCTGTTCTCGAAATGACAAAAATCGAATTTGCAGAAGTTCGTCGATTTGCGTGTATTGTTTTCGAAATTCTTCCTGTTGCGCAATTAGCATTCGCTTAGCAATGTCTTCTACATCTATGCTACACAAGTCAACCTTTTGATCTTGTTCATCCTGCTTATGATCGAATATTTGCGACACATTTAGACCAAGATTCAAATCAGTTGAACATTCTAACAATCGACGATTCAAATCTTCAAATTCTTTTTTGTGATTTGCATTGTTAAAGATTTTTATAAACCAGTTACTGTCGGCAAAACCAGATATAAAACTTTTAGCCTCTTCAATACAAGTTAACAAATTGTTTAGTGTTGGCTTTAATGTCGAATGAATTTGTTCGAGATTTTCTATATATGGCGTGAGTGGATTAATAACGGCGTTGATACGATCAGATAAACGCGAAGATTGAGTCTTATTATCTTTAACTTGCTGGACTGCTTCGTATATTTGTTTAGCAGCTTGAAAAATCAATGTTACGACGGTTGATACTTCCATATTAACAGTACTGCAAAGAAGAAGATCGACACAAGTTGTTTTCAGAAAAAAAACAATATTCCTCATTGCAAAAAAGTTCCATGGAGTTCTATATTTATTTTGCATAAGTTTAACGATAGGTTAAAATTGAACATTTCAACCAGTTTGACCATCACGGAAATGGAACCTGAGCGAAGAATTCGATAAAAACTATACCCTTATTTCTATTTTTTTCCGAAAGTACACAAGATACTATATTGATGGATCAGCCGAACTTGCTTCTTTTTGTTTTGATTTCGGTGTATCTTTATATCAAAACTGTCATGTACTGAATCTGTTTCGATCAAAACATATAATGTCAAACGAATAAGCCAAAAAACTATATGAACCTATGACATATTTCTTACTTAAATTACGAAACAGCGATGACTCAAACGAAAGATACATTGGCTTGAAGCTTAGGTCCGTTTAATTTTCCAAAAAAGTTCAAAAAGGACAGTTCTAAGACACGAATCATTTGTATTTGTTTTTTTTTAAGCATGTCTTGTTAATTTCGATGCATTTTTTATGCAAACAAACCGACACTTAGATTGTTTTTACTATTTTCAATGATAAATAAAATGAAAGCAACAAAGAGTTGCTTACCCAATCAGACGCCAAACGATGATTCTTGCATTTTACCTTTTTTCTCATTAACTACAGGGAAAAAGATTGCTAAATCACTCCTCTGATGTTAGCTAAAGGTTTTTCGACGTTAAACACTATTTTCTTATAGTTACTGATCTTTTTCAGAGTATATACGGAGCGATCCAGATTAAAGCGCGGTGTCTTTATTTTCTCTATTTCGCTTTACTATCTCAAATTATATCTACTATTTTTATGCATCAACAGATGTACCATGAAACGCTGTGAAAAAGCTTGTTAGCGCAGCCCCTTTGGGGCTGAAATGTGGAACTCACATATCTCCTTTGATTTCATTATACTAATGACACAATACCAAATATTTAAAATCTCCAAAAGATAATAGCTCTTTTCTAAAGATAATCGAATTATTAGAAAATGTTAAATTTTTATCTCGAAATTTCGAACAGAAATTTTTATTTTCACGAAGTTGCCAAGGTCTGTAATGGTAGCCTGCGTTGCTATGGTCTGTAAGGCGGGGGGGGGGGGATATGTGAATTCCACAAAATGGCATATTTCAATTAACTATTGTAACTTTCATTATTTGATAAAAGCCTAGAGAAATTGTTTTGAAAATTGGTACAACTTTCTGCAAGAACTTTTGAATATAATCTTCCCTATAACGTAGAATTTATGAATTAGCGATATTCAATCAATTATTTGAACAGATTCATTCTAAATCGAGTAGACTTGATGGTTTCTATGAGGCAATTTTGCTGCTCCACTGTCTTTGAGCATTATATTAGTCCAAATAATTGATTAAATATCGTTAATCCATGAATTCTTCGTTATACGAAACACTGCATCCAAAAGCTCTTTTAGAAGGTTGCACCAAGTTTCAAAAAACGTTTTCTAGGCTTTTATAAAATAATGAAAGCTATAATAGCGAATTAAAATATACCATTTTGTAGAGTGTTTCGCGGTGCATCTTTTGGTGAATAAAAATAGGAGAAATAACTGAGATAGTAAAGCAGAATAGAGCAAATAAAGAAACTGTCACTTAATCTGGATCACTCGATATATAAGGATACGATGGTGGCAGTGATCCACCAGTGCACTGGTATGGATATACTACGGCAGCTTCGAATTCGATCAAATTTCATACAATATCGTTATTGTTGGAAAATAGTCCTTCCTCGACGAAAAAATCAAACACACAAATTTTGAGAAATCACCTATAGATTCACATTCCTTGACACCGACAACCTTCGATCAAACTTTATAAAAAATCGGTGGATGGTACACCGCCGCCGCTGTATCCCTAATTTTATATATAACTCCTTATTTCTATATCTAACGGCTGATGTCTATCATCCAATCGTCACTCTCTTTCGGTATGTTCAAAATAGAGGACCAGATGTTGTTCTGCGGGACTACGGACAACTCTCGGTTACGAAGCAATGAATGATTGCTGCAATGTGAAAAAGAAGTGATTCGTAATGTTAAATAAGACGTCTCTTTTGTTGTGTCAAACAGTTACCCTCACGTGATTTTCTTGCGAAGAGATGCGTAGTTGTTGTTACGAAGAAAAAAGTGAGTGAATGTCTTTTTGCATGAAAATGAGAGCCTCGACACTCTGTCGGTAAGAAGAAAGAAGACTTGAAAATACACTTTACCTTTTTTAAGAAAGGAGAAAAAAAATAGACATTTGTGCAGCTTTGCCAAGGAAAAAATCAAATACGTCTCTTTTTATAGTATTCATAAAAAATCGTTGAGGAGACTACTTCTCATGTGTGAACATAAAGAAAATAAATTCTAAGGACAATCACACAACAGTTTAGTATGTAACTGTACTCTATAAAAGATTGAAAAAATGCCTTCCATGTTAACCATTATGCCGCAGATACAAATATTTTGAAATGAGTCACACAATTCAATATTGAGACGATGTCATTACATAATTTGATGCCATAATGATACCCCGCTCAAGAATTGTAATGTAGCGCCATCTTTCGTGTGAGACACTTTTTTTAGTGAAAAAGTAGATTTATAGAGAACTGGTCATAAGTAGTTTCTATCATAATTTTATCTTCTGACCCTTCTCACACTCATAAGTACGTCACTGCTAGTGGTGCATTTCACCATTGATTGTTTCTTTTCGCTTGCTTTTTTTCATCAGACCACGTACTATTATATTAACATTCTTTCAACAAGGGTGTGGGTGTGGGTGTACACTTCGAGACTGCTAAAAGGCACACCCACATCCACACCCACATCCACCCACACCCACACCCACACCCACCACACCCACACCCCACACCCACACCCACACCCCCACTACGACGAATATATGTTAAACTAAAAGTATCAAATGTTGTTTTCTTAGTTATGCTCGTTGCTTTTGTTTAGGTGCTACTATTCCAAGTTAATCTTGGAAATGAATTGAACAATATTTTCTACAACGATCTAGAAAGTCTTGATCGAACTTCTTCATTAATAATCGCTTCATATACAAATTTTCATCTAAAAACTAATAGAGAAATAAAAAAACTAATTTGTTTTAATCCATGAAATTTCCAAAAATAAAATACATTTATTTTTAATGCTTGGTTTGTGTCCTATATCATTTCTAATTTGATATTTCATATAACTTTCTTTAATAGTAAAATAATCATGGAATTCAAGTAAATCTAAATACAAACAATGAACAATAAAAATAAAATTTTTTTTCTTGGTTTTAATTTACTTAATCACAATTAATGATTTAACTTCACGAGGTTTCATATCTAATATAATTTTTGCTTTGATATTGAATAGTCATAGAACTGAATATTAATTATTTTACATAATATCAAAAATTAAAAAAAACAGGAGAATAAATATTCCAACAAATTGATAAATCACTTAAATTATGGAACGAGAAAAAAAGACACATATTTGTTTTGATATGATTCATACTTTTATCATTAACATATTATCAAACTCTGCGAAACTTTACTTTTGATTCTTTTATCAATATTTAATTTACATATATTCATTTATGTCGAAATCATTATATTTAATATGTGGCATCAAGAAGTTTCCTGAATATTCGAGACCATTTTTCATATACAGAAGATGATGTGAAGTAAAAGCTTCTTCGTTTAGTATGAATAAAAGTGTGAATTCTTTCATCGTCACATCGACAATATGATCACAGTGTACTCATTGTTTATTTAAACTAAAATATAGAATTGACATTTTGTGATCGATTTTAATTAAAGTTGACTAGTTAAAAACTTTGACATTGATTTTCTTTTTGTTTCGATTAGTAATAATAGACATGAATAGTCTTAAATATTTCTATTTTTGGCATACTTAAATAATTATGACAAAAAAAAGAGAAGAGTATAATTCTGACTCTACAATTTTCGCACTAAGTTACAGGCGTTAGTATCTATGAATTACCTTGTAAATCTATTACCTTTCATTGTTGATTTATCCTAGTGTTGTTCAACAAAGCATCTTTTTGTTGTGACTGATGTGTATATCTTTCTAAGATTAAATCGAAGAAAATGTCGTGACTACTCAATCAAGTAATGAATTTGTACTCTGTAATATGATGCTCCTTAAAACTACTTTTTTACAGTATTCTACTATCTGAAAACTATTTTGTTGGGTTTTTCAAAAATATTCTTCTCGTAATTCATTTAGCGAACTTTCATATGATATTGATTTGATATAGAAGTTTACTAGCAATTGAAACTACTATTCAGATTTGACTTAAATGCTTGTTATATTATAAGAGAATTAAAAATAGGTTGTTCATAATTTTTGAATCAATACTTTAAGTTTATCACTGCTTGCTTTTCTTCTGAAAATTGTTAATCTTGTTCATTTATTTCAGTCTTTAGATGGAATCGAACTGTCAAAAAAAACAGATGACATTGCTGCCAGTTGATTAATGAATGTTCGTTCATAATCGTGAATAAAAACTAATCATTAGAAAAGCATTATACAAAACATAAATACTAGGTCAGTTCGTGGATATAATTCTGTAATGAACCTGACAGATAAGTTTGTTATGAATCGGATTTTTATTTTAGCAAATATCCTCTATCATGAAAAGGTGTTATCTTTGTTTGTTTAATGGAATGATATACTTGATTTTGGATTTGCTTGTGTATTAGATGATATTCGAATACCCTCTATATATCAATCAAAAGATTTGTCGATCAATATGATTGCATATTGAGTGATACTAAAACCAGCCTATAATTATAAATTTAATTAATTTTCTTGATATTATAATCAAAATATACATATGAATGCATCTGGTTTTAGATACAAATTTTTCAAAGCAACATTACCTAATAATAGCTATTACGGATAAAAATTTATGTTTTTAATTAAAGTATATCATTCCATAAAATCCACTTTAAGCTTTTGTTTATATGTTAATTCTTTTATATAATTATTCAGATACTTATCAAATAGATACACTACTGAATCTACGAAAATGATTTTAATATTATTTTGACATACGGTTTGATAATAGCGGAAAATTATTAATGTGAGTTAACAAACGTGCATCTTAGATAAATGGAACACAATTTATTTATTCATAAAATAAAATGAAGGTTGTGCTTTGTTCTTCTAGCCCTCATTGGCTGTGATTTCAATGGAAATCTGAAAGAGAACCTCCTTGTACACTTAACTTAGACAATCGAAGGGTGTGTTGACATTTTGATCTTTGCAACGAAGTGTACAATGTTTCGTAAAGTCTTTTGTTTTTAGTGTAGAAAAGAAAAAGTGATGTACGTTTTTTCATGAGGAATATAAACTAATATTTGGCATATAAATAAGGAAGATCGCTGCGACACAGAGTTACGCCCATATCGGGATGGAATTTGGTCGGGATTTCCTCGGGAATTGAACGTTTTGATGCCTCGATTCGCTACGAATTTGAGAGACTTATTAAATAACTTGTGGCTGTGTGGGTGTCGATGCGGGTGACCTATCAGGAAAAAATCCACGAAGAAACAACAACAGCCACACTCATTCACACCCTCTTTTATTTAGAAGACAGGACACAATGTGTTTTTGATTGATAAACCCATCATGTCAGAATGAATAAAGAGGAAAGATAGTAGAGAATATGAAAGAAGAGAACCAATTAATCGATAATGTCCGTTATTTTTGCGTGAACTTATGTTTGTGGAAATCTTCTTTAAAGAAAAAATAAAGTGAATTAATTCGATACCATAAAGTACTTGAAATGTAATCTAAAAATATAATATGCAGATGATGGAGTAAAACATAAGTGATATTCTCCTAATGATTCATCGTCAAATCAATATGTTGACACCATATAATATCTGCCTTATTAGCCATTACAACAGCCACAATAAAAACTATGCCAACAATCAGCAGGACAACAATAATCACAATTATCACTAAGAGAAGTATCATAATCATACTGTTGAAGAGGAAAAGCACGACGACAATCAGCAGCACAAAGATCAAAACAAGTACAATCACTGCGCTTGTTGATCAAATGATGGAGAGGACCATTGACCTCACCTTGATGAACTGTGGTTCGTGCCATGCAGCTTGTACCCATCAACATCATGATGACGATCAAACAAATCAAATGACTGATCATCTCCATTATTCTTTGTTACTGTCTGACTCCTGAAGAGAAAATGATAGATAAATATCAGCAAGTATGTAAATGGTATTTTTTTTATAGCCTTGCCTCTGTGTTATATATACTTCGATCAACCATTGAGGATAGATCTACGAGAAAATAATCTCTAGAAAATGGAAAGTGATTAACTGCTTTATGATACAATAAGAATAAGAGGTAATCGATATCTCGTCAATTTCTCACTGCTCGATCAACATTCGGAAACAAAAGAATGCCAAGATTCCTTGCCGCGCTTTATTCTTCGTCACCAAGTAATATTAATAGACAATCAGGCATGCAGTGAACTGAAGCTTCTGCTCTGAGCGTGGATCCAACGGCTCAAAAACCAGCGAAGCAGTTCCAGATGCGTCGAGTTTTTACGTACTGGTTCAAGCTATCCTTGAAGTATAAAGGCGATCACGAACACAATCGAACCGTTTGGCCAAGTTCGGATGTGCAGAGTGTGGGTGTGGGGTGTGATTGTGGATGGGCTATCTTGAGAGTGAGAAATGGGGTACTAGTAAAATACGCTCTCACCCACTTTGACCGCTATCCCATTGGAAGATAGTATCGATCTATAAAGCATAAAATTCTCCATTCATGAGACCCCACTCCAACTCATTTTCTTCAATAAATCTCAGACTAAAAAATTAAATATCCTTTTTATGAGGATGTGGGTGTATGGTTTCGATTGTTCTTCCAATGTGTCATCACACCCACACACCCACACCCAGTTCCATGCAGCCAGTTTGTTCTTTTGGAGATTCTACAGCTACATAGTAGTTCTACAGGCACTTGAGAGAATTCTATTCCACGTTAGCCTATGGAAAAAACAGATACTCGAATGGCATAAATATTTATGCAAGTTTCTATCAATACAACTTCTATGAGTTTTATCTAAGTACTGCCAGAGCACAGCTAGAGGTCGGTCTTTAACTCTACTTTACTGGATAAAGTAAAGTAACACAATTTTGTTAGCCGCCATGGTTGAATGATTACGTTATTCGACACGTATCCACAAGGTACTGTGTTCAAATCTCAGTAGCACCATCCGTGGAATGACCCTGGACAAGTCACTAACGGCTAAGTTGTCTCGATTGACTCATTCGTATCGTGCTGAATACATCCTTACTCAGTACGTTAGACGGAAGGAGTGCAGATACCGCCGTCTGTAAAAAGAAAAAGACGAAAGAAATCGGCTGCATGTGGACCCTAATAATAATCGCTGCCGGTCCCAACGGGCGATAAGCCTATGAGACCTTATTATTATTCTTATAACACAATTTTACTTTCGTTTTTCTACAGTAGAATGAAGATTAAGTGCCATATATAGGCATAACAGATGAATCCTATTTATTCAAAGTATATTTAACTTAATGACAACATCGTTTACTACCAATATGAATCGGTTTTTTCATCAAGAAGTATGAATTGGCAATTCGAAAAAGATCCAAAATGAATCATGCAGAAAATTATACTAATGTGATTTATTAACATAATATTCATATGTAATGCGAAGTGGGATACTTCTATAGATTATTTACGCACTGTTAATAAAAAAGCATGTTGATGTTCAATTGATAGCACCCTCGATATAGTATGGTTCTTTCAAATTCATGTCCTTCATTTCATGAATCTGATTTTTTTGTAGCTAGGAACAATATATATTTTTAAAGCAGTTGTTTTTTTTTGTCTGGAACAGCGACATTGAGGTAGTCTGATTAGCATAGAAGAATATTTGAAACTGTTATATATTCTGAAAAGTAAGCCAACAGAAAAGGTCACTATCTTTTTATTCTCACATTATTTAAATTACTTTACAGTCAGATGTAAGATATTTTTATACTGAGTCGTTTTGTAATCAATTCAAATCGATTTAATAGCATCGAAGGTAATGTCGACTAAAAATACTATTAGTTTATCATAGCCTAAATTGTCATCGATATTGTGAAATATCTGTCTAATAACGTTACACAACAAGTTTGTTTTTCTTTTTGGGTCTGAGCCATCTGACAAAACATTTCAATGCTGCATCGATTTCTATAAAAGGAAATACATCTTGAAGGTGGGTATAGGTGTGAGTGCGAGTATGAATGAAGGGAAGATTAACATCCACACTCTCCTTAATAGATCGTGCTCAGAAAATAGAAGAACTTGTTTGTAAAAATGCTTTTAAAGTTCTTTTGGAATGCGTTTTGAAGAATTTTTCCTGCATTTCTTGAACGACAAACTGCGTTCTAGCAGTCTTAGAACGCAATATTCAAATGCAATATCAAAACGAATTCATCCCTCATGATCTTATGTGCCTCGATCCTTTTTCGTCAGTTTCTCTGTTTTTCATTTTATTCAAAATCAATGTATTTGATAAGTCTAACATGCTAAACAAGAAGAAAATGAATGACAAGAAGGAGTTTTTATTTCACATTTTGAAAAAAGAACTGTTGTTTACATACCAATCGTCAGTTCTCTTAATTATTTGATTGCATTTGTTTTTTTTAGTTTCGTTTGGTAACTTGAGTTATGGTCGATCGTTGCCATCAGAGCGCCCTCAATTGTCATAACAATGGTCGGTGTGCTGTAAATATTAGTTCTAATACGACTTATTGCAAATGTACTCCGTGTTATTATGGAACGTTTTGTGAAGCTGAATATTTTAAAACGAGCCAGTTCAATATAGCGTACATCTACTTAATAATATACATAATTGGTCTGTGTTTCTCAATATTGAATAATATTCTTTCTCTCGAAGTATTCATTGGCTGTAAACGAATTCGTTGCACGAACTGTGGTATCTATTTAACCACCTATTCCATTCTTTCAGTTTTATCAAGTATTATACTAGTAGTTAATCAAGCTCGATTTTACTATGAAGTACAAACGGGAATCAATGTAAGCCAACATTTCGATTATAATTGTTATTTATATAAAATTAGTTATAATATGCTTATTTATTGCTGTNATCAAAGACAAGTCAAGCTTACTGTGAGACACATAAGACTAAATTCGATTGTACATGGATACAGAAGTGGCTTCATTCTCACATAACCTTCCCGAATGACGGTACTAACTGTTGATTCGTTGATAAGTAAATTTGAACAACCCGAATGAATAAATGGTAGTCGATAAATCAGACTGGTTGTTCCTTTATGGCTTCCTTTTCGTTACGGACAAGTACAAGAAAGGCATAGAGATTGAAGATGATAAACGCTCACCTGTATTCAAGTGGCCAGCAGTACTACTGTATTGTGTTAGACCCCGCCCATGTTCATCTACTTCGCCAATTTCGGAAATAGTTTCAATTACGACCACGCGAAACCTACAATAATACATCATGTAAAATTATCTTCTAATAATAAAAGTCTGAATAGACACATTGCCCGAAGAAATGTAAATCGTTTATTATTTATGAATCGAACGATGAAATTATCAGAATCTATTATATATTTTTAGAAAACTTTCATATTAGCCCTTTTGCAGATGTGTAACACATGAAATTGACTCAAAGAGAAGATATGAGAAACAAAACAGCCCGATTCGTCTACATTGCAATTGTATAGAAGCATTCATAATCATGGATTGAAAGGTTTTGTTTTCCTTCTATCGAATATGATAGTTACTTCAATGCATGATAGAAAAAAAAATTAAGTCATTCTACTTTTAAGTAACAAGAAACCTACCATACACATAAATTAGTCACTACGATATGGATCACTGCCAAACGAGCTAGGTTCTCATGGGCTCGAATGATGAGCTAAATCATGATCAATCTTCGATTTATTATTTGTAAATTGTTGTAAGACGAAATAACATACGTTCGATTGTTTGAACACAAAAAAGAATTGAATGAAACTGAAGAGCAACCGTGAGCTATCGTCCATCACAGCTGTCCAACGTGTACATGGGCTATTTTCTATGTTGCTTAGAATTGACAGACTCGAATGGATGACTGTACCAAGACAGAAAACTAGAATAATTCTGTTAGATATACAACATCGATCAATATCTTATTTTTCAGCTTACTCCCAATGCCTACACGAGTATAAAGACCACCAACAAGTGAATTATCATCGTAATTGTAACCAATAACATGTTGAACAATACTATTTTTTCGATGGCGAACATATGCTCGGAGATGATGTTTTTCGATTGAATCGAGAGCGTGTCGTCGAATCAAGATATCTCGTACTGTATTCGATGGCGATTTTTCTGTTGATGATCGATCTAAAATATTGTCTGAAGAGTTGAACTTAATGCGACGATCACGAAAACTAGGAGTCTCTTCGGTCTCTGCTAATGGTTTGATGGAGTTTGTCTCTAGTCGTACGTCATCGTTGCCATCCAAACCGTCTTTTTCGACATCATCAAACAAATTTAAATTCATGTGGGACGTATTCAAAACTGTTGGACTGCTTTCTGACGAAGTTGATACGATTTTTTGTTGTGTAAGACGAACATCATCAGCTACATTCATCTGTTTTGAATCCAATCGATTCACAGGGCCAGTAGAGATTTTGACTTTTTTTCGATGACGAATGATATCAATAATACAGAAGACAATCCAAATGATCGATACCCAGTATAAATAAGTGAAATAAATCTAGGATTTATTAAGATCATTGTTGTTGATGAGTCAAAACTCTTCTACGAATGTAAATACTTACCTCAGCAAAGTGTTTGATAATTTCAGCTTCTCTTTTTGGTACAATAGTGAACGCAATAGAAAATGATACACCGCCGATGAAAACAACTATAACGTAAATTACAGTGTTTACAATGATCACAATAAAAATAATGTGTCTTAATGTGAATAATATCTATCTATTATCATAGTTCAGTTTATTTCTTTTGGCCTAGTTTTAGGTTTGCCTTCACATTAGAGTATCTAATTTTCTTGATATACATTCGAATATCATTGTAGATTGAAGAGATCGACTAATGAAAATGAAATTATCAAATATCTTTCATTAACAATTTCATGTCAAAATCGAGCTACGGAAAGTTTTCAATTGTAGTATCGTGTTGTAAAATAACTTTTAGTACAAAATTTATTATCGAAGTGTCCATCTTTTCTGTCTACAGTTTTCCCGAGTGAATTTTTCTTCTTATCAACCATTGATAGTCGATTTATTTTTTTCTTTTGTGAACAATGAACCATCATTCAAATTACTTCACATGAAACGATTGCAAATGATAAGAAACAGAGCAATGAATTTGCTTCTCTGAACTTTCTCCTGATCCACATAATCATGATATGGTCAAAAGTCGGCAGTCATTTTTGTTTCATGTATGTATGTTCAACTATTGTGAATAGCAGCATTTATGCATGCTGAAACATTACAACATACCAAAAACATGAGGTATTCTGAGACAACCATTTTTGACTCGAAATTTCACGAACAACAGTTTAACGAGCTCAGCATCCGAATCTAGTCATTATCATTTGGTGTCTTTTCTGAAACTCTCCTTAACAGTCAGAGAAGAAAGCTCAAGAAAAACAACGTCAATACGAATTAAGTTTTTTTTTATTTTTCTTTAGCAGCTTTACTTTAGACATATGCGCCTCATATTCGATGTACTAGCTATGCATTACAGTGGTTCGTTATTCAGTGCTTGTTATGAGGTCTTCTGCTTGTTCTAGTTTGCTTGTGTAAAGTTTATCAAGATATCATCGCGAATAGTAGCATTGTAAGGGGCAACAAATCTGAATGTAATCATTTCATAGTAGTATAAAAAATCTCGTGCTACCCTCATTGCCAAGATGAGGCTGGAAGTATAGACCAAGCAGGTCGACATGATACAAAAAATCTCATTATAGTATCTTTTCAGACCTTCATTTTGAAAGAAAGCTCGATAAATCTCATTAGAATACCCGTAAAAATCGAGTTTCAAGCGACAGAGAAAGTGACGAGTCAGTTTATAGCGTTATCAATTCTACTTCCTCCACGATTATTTTTTTTTATAGTGTATCCAAATGTAATATGAAGTTCTAAGATTGCTATACAGGTGTGTCTGAAATGTTGTAATCGACTGTGCAGTGTTCAATTCTTATGCGTTGATCGAGAGTGAGTAATGCAAAATAAAATTTTCAACGGACCACTCATGTATCGAGACATCTTTTAAAAACAGAAAAAGGTAAATATAAGTGTTTCTACAATAGGTAGTTCTTGAGTTATGCAATTGAAAAATTTCCAGATAAATTACTTCATCATTATTTAAGTCTGTTTCGATTTATATNCATTTAATAATAATTCTCCAAGTCGTTGACTCATTTTATCAATGTCCATAACGACAAATGTCAAACATGGAAAAGTTCGGACACGTGAGAAAAATAATTAAAAATATTTATAAGAATACAACACAGTATAATTTAACTATCATGTAAATGTTTTTAAAGAGAGACGATGGTCAATGGATGTACAAAAAGTCAAATTATAGATTGGATAACGATATCTAGATTTTATTAATGGTATGAACTCATCTCATTAATATCGAGCAAAGATATTGCTCGATACATTTGAATATGAAATCTGAAAAAAAGGTTTTTTAGTCATATTCTATTTATCATCATAAACATAGACGAAATACTGAATTGCATAACTGCATGAGCCGAGGCAAAACTCCATGATCCGTCTTCGATAGACCAACGCTAGAAACTGATGCAACTTTGAGACACTCTTTTGTTTCTCAATAACTTTTCGTAGAGATTTTGCTCTTCCTCACATGAAACGATTGAAAGTCATTGAACGATTTGGAAACATTCGGATTCGAAATATTGCCTACAAGTTTCATCGATTTTCGGAGTTCTTCAAAATAATATGGTGATTATTCTACATCTTTCTGACAATTTCCTAGGAAATTGGCTTTTTTTGGTGGTAGAAATGATCAATCTAGGAGACAACTACTGCAATGATCTATTTCTCGGGTCATCAGCTTTACTTCGACATGGACACTTCCATACTACGAAGTCATTGTTAATTTTAATTAAGAGTAAATGTTAAATATGAACATAATAGAAAATTTCAATTTCTAATTCCTGATTTTGGGATAGTCGGACACATGGTCATAAAACGTGCTTTGAAGTTCATTAGAGATCGGATCGGCTGACGTTAGAGTGCCTCCTACTGGGAAAAATCGAAAAATGTCTCTGGATAGAGAGATAATCGCCGCCTCCTCTAAATTTGTCACTGCAAGAGGTTTTTTAATTTATTTCCTAAAATATTACGGTCATATATGGCTGGAACCGTGACTCGTGAACAATTTCCATGTCTCTATGAACGATAGAATGATCATTGAAGAAAATTTATTGTTTAATCAACCGATGAATTGATGATCGTTATATCTCTAATATTGATTAAGACACATTATACTTAATACATATGTAATGAAATATCAATTCAGTGACTCATATAAATTTAAATATAAGATTTTTTTCGTTTTCGGGTATAATTCTTCTGATGATAAACATGTTTAGTTAATCTACACTTGTTTATAATCAAAAAGAGAAAATAAAATTGAGTGAAAGTTGATTATTAAAAACTTGAATACTAAATACGTATCCATGTCAAAATTATTCTCAAATTCGACTTTACCTTGTGTTCGTTGCAGCGAATTTCATTGAATGAGAAATCGTTGATTTTCATGGATCGTTGCAGTTTTTGCTAATAACTCTTCTCCATTGTTGAATATATCTTTCAAAAAATAACATAAGTTTGGTAAATTTTGTAGTTGTAGATATTCATCTTTCGAATCACTATATTCTATTTTATATTTATTATATAGATCAATTATATGGTCTCTGGATAAGTTACAATCTTTGATTGTCAATGACTGTAAATAATGAATTAAACAGAGAATAGTTAATTAAATTGTTCTTCTTTCTTATTGGTGAGATCTTTTAATGAAAATAATTTTCTAAAAATTTACGTTGAACTTCATTTTCTGTTGTTGATGTGGTCAATAGAATGAACATGATAATAATCTCATAATTTGAAAATAATTTCAATAGTGAACTTTTATATCGACATTTTTCTAAATCTCTCATCCGTATTTCATAATCAAATTTGAATTTATTAAGTTTTGCTTCAAAATACCTTGTCCTATTTGTAATTTCTTGTTTAAGTTCTTGTTCATTATCTTCTTTATTATGGGATGTAGGATGTGTATCAATCTTCAGCATATCGATTCACACACCCAGACACTCATAGTTTCGTCCATATCTACGCGCTAACTAGGATGATTTTTTTTCAAAATATTGTATGCTTCAGACAGCTACATTTGTTCGAATCTTTTTTTATATGCCAAACATTTTGAAATCCTCTCATATTATAAAGAAATCATCCATTTTAACTGAAATTAGCAAGATATTATGAGACCTATGACATTTATTTATCGATTTATACTAACATTGAAAATTCTTAATTTAATTTTTTCTGTAACATCCCGCAGAAGGCTACAAATTAAATAAAATGATCATAATTCAAGATAAAAATGCTAATGGAAACTATCTTTTTAACTTTTTACTGTCCACAATGGATCCTAATAATCAGTAAAACATGAGCTTGAATAAAGTTTATGAGATGGAAGAGTTTCTTCATCAGTTGTTTTGCGCAAAGCTATTTAGATACAACTACGAAAGATATGTTGATGCTATGTACAAATTATTAACATATATAAATCTAGAGATTTAGCCATGGTGAACTACAAATCATGTACAGCAATATAGTTGATCGAAAAACGTTTTTTTCGTAAAGTTTTAATTTCTATGTTTTTAGTGTATTTCACTCAAAGTGATTACATAGAAAAGTTTATCATAATCACAAAGAGAAAAACAACAGGCATATCGAATTTCGAATATACTTTTCTAAAATTTCGGCTAGTTCTTTAATGGTACCGAAATACTTCGTTTTAAAATATTTCTAAATCCCGGTGAGACCAATTTATAGTCTCATTCATAACACAATGGATTTCACAACGTGGCTGTGGGTATAGGTGTCAGTTTAGTTGAAAGTAGGACCTACGCCCACACTCACACTCTCATTAAAAAATCTGTCAAGTTTATTGTCATTTTAGTTTAAAACAATTTAGAAATCACTTTGCATTTAACAATTTATTAGTCTTGAATACAATCTAGACGTTTTTGATACCATATACGTTCTTCTTCAAGTCCATATGTTTCACATAGATTGATAAATTTTTCATATATAGTTCGAACATTAAAATTAAATGTCGAATAAAGTTTACGTAAACAAACAGGACATAGATACAACGGCTGTCGATCCATTTCACGTTCATGATTTGCACCATTCATCAAGCAAACATAATAGATACAATGTTTTAAACCAAATAAGTGACCTAGTTCATGCAGAAGAATTTTCACACAACGTCGAAGCATTATTATACGATGTTCATCAGTTAATGGAGTAGTGAGTAATGTTTTTGGTGATTCTCGAAATAATGGATCAAGACGTGCAAATGAATAGACACCGAAACCGTCTATTGGATGTGCTTGTCCATAAACAAAATTCCAATCTTCATCAGGATAAATGTCAGCCATAGTTACAGCAACACATAAAAGTTCTCGTCTTGTATTACGCTTATGACGTGTTTGAGATAAACAATTATAAAAGCCATCTGTTCGATATTGTATTGTTCCATAGTTATTTCTTGATTTCATATCTTTTGAAAAATCAATCGTTGGTAATAATTCAACGTCACATCCGGAAAAAAATACACAAGCGAATTGTATAATTATGTCAAGTGGTGCAGCTCTAGAATTTCATTTTACTAATTGAATCGAGAACCAAGTTTACTTTTACCTTGGATGATTAAAACTACCGATTGATTGAATATAGATTGTTTTAAAACTATGACGTAAAAGAACACAAATCTTCTCAATAAAAAGAGATAAACATTACAACATGATTTACGTTGCATGAGGAATAGCTTTTGACATAGTTCGTTCAAATGATTTCATAGTTTGTCCTTGTTCTGCATGATTTGCCAACCAATCACTACTCTTAGGTTTCGGTACCGGTTGAAAACTTTCATTAAGTTTGTTTGTCACAGCCAGTTGCATATCTCTTGGTAACTAAAACAACAATCAACTATGTAAGAGATAAGAGTAAGTTGTCTTTATACTAGACCTTTGAAATATCACCAAGCGCTTCAGCAATACGTTTAGCATCGGGAGGAATAAAATTCATACTTTCTTGTAATGCGTAATACTGATAAAAAATTTAATTAATAGAATAGCATTCAATACCAATAGAATAAGAAATTTACGAAATTTTCTCATTTAAATAGAGCTTCATGAGTCACAGTATAAATTATGAGTAATTTTTTATATAAATTCTACCAATCCAAATCATTTTATTTAAGTTGACTATAAATGTTAAACATACGAAGCATGACAGTACGAGAGCGGTCTCTAGCGAAAAGCTTCATCCTTGAAAATTCCATATGAACAATAATCTGTAAAAAGTTCTCTACAACATCCGTAAATTAAGTTTTAAATTGCTTGTCATTCATGTGATCCTCTACATTAAAACTAAGCGATAATAGATTATACTTGACATTTTGGCTTAGTTATTCAGCGTACATAAGTATATGTTTGAAAGAAAAAAATTATCATCGACCTTGTTTTCTAATTCACTCGTTACTTCAAGAATATCGATTAAATAGTAGCTATTTTGTGTTTAGAGTTATGCTTACAAAAATACGTAAAATACTCATTCTAGTAATCTCAGCAGTATTCAAATTTCCGATAAAAGTAAATCTTCTTTACGATTAATGAAATTTTTGAAATTTACACATAACAAGAAGTGTGTTCGACCATGAGAATAAAGAGCATTACACCTCAAACCAAGTAGAACTTTTGAAAAATTAGTGTAATTTCTCTATACTTTTCCGAAGCTACAAATTAAATGGAAATGACGCAAATTCCCGAAATTATCTAGAAATTAGCGTAATTTCTAAAAATTCTATTTGGATTTGTTGGGATAGGGCTCCCTATCCTCATAGATCTATATTCCAATCTCTATGCATAAGATCTGAGCAATTATCGGAAATTTCTGGAAATTTCCTTTTTAGGAATGTTAAATATACCTCGAAAAAAATATAACTTCAGTAGGAAACAATTTAGTCTTTTTGACCTCGAGAAGAATTGATACGAGAAGTATAAATAAATTTCAGATAAAATGAAAGTCATGCAAGATGTGGATGCGGAGTGCATGTGTGCGGGTGTTTATTGTACACTCACACCCTTCTTTGGGCTGCAGTACTTTTAAATAGTTCATGAAAAGTCAAGTAGCACTAATGTCATAGATAAACTGCAATGTAACAACCGGAAAGATATTGTAACCGGATTATCTCGGTTTTAAGTTCATACAAATCAACAAAAATGTGCGTTCATATGTGTGGGCTCTCACGTTAACCGAAAAGAAATAAAAAGCATTTGCATTATAATATGAAGCAAATATCTGGTTAGAAAATTACCTAAGTTCAGAGCAAATTCTATATCTCTATGTGAATATAGAAGAGACAACAGTGTCGTGAAACTATTTTGCCATGTCTCAGTGGGATGCAAGAGTGATATATTTAGATAAATAATCCTCAGAGTGGGATAAATGCTTATTTTGCTCACCGAAAACAATTCACTGTAAATGTTTTAGGTTTCATAGAAGTTTTTCGAGCCAAAAATAGCATCTGTCAAGCCAGCGGGAAACTTTTTCTTTTCCTCTTCATAATTTACAAAAAGATTTTCGGGTGTTCTTTTAAAATATATTTTGGCCTGTTGCAATTGTTTATTGTTCCATTCGTCCGCTTTTCTTTTCAGTCGTACTTGTTCTAGTAAACATTGTACGACTGTATTTGCGTGATACTCCTGAGCCATCGATCCCTCATGGAAGAAAACTCGTTAAAAGTGTATGCATCCTAATTATTTTATTTTACCTTGACAACGGACAGTTCGAGTGATCTGAGTTAAAAAATAAATTCAATCGATCATTTTGATGGTGTTGAGTCCATCGACTCTACCTGCACTATGTTCGAATATGTTTAAACCGCCTTCCCATGCTTGAACGGCTGCAATTTGTTGTCATATATAGCCAAAACATTCTTCAAGACAATCGTAGACCATGTAAACTAAACTATCCTTCTTAGAATGATGAATTAAGGTTCGTATGTCGACGATTACTTGCTTATGTTTCCTAGATTCAAACATGGCATTAATTCGATCGAGTTTCTCTTCCATAACTGTCGTATCGAAGAGTGATACAAATGAGTATATGCCTCATTTTGGTTAGTAAGAAAGAACTAAAATTAGTTCCCGAGTTCGTAAAAAAAGTCGAGTGAATGTTTTGCATAACATAAGAAACGATGTTTTATTGCAGATAGAAATATTTTAAGTGGCGAAAATATAAATCATTCATATATTCCGACATTTTGATTAACGAACTTGAAAAAAAATTATTTTAATAAACTTGTAAAACTTCCCAAAAGGATCCGAAGCAACACATTTCTTTTTTGGAAGACATAGAGAAATCAAATTGAATTTATAATGCGTGATTGATCCATGAAAGATTTTAGTCCATGTTCTATTGATATGTTATGACTTCCCTATAAAAATTGAATGTTCAAAAGCCTATGTTTTGTGCAATAGAGCCGCCATCATTTTCGTTCTTTTCCTTCGTTTCTACTCGACAGAACTTAGAAAAAACAAATACTTGTGGTACGATCTTTTTTATTATGAAGAAAAAGAGAGACTATTCTTTGAAACACTCTTAGGCAGTTATAGTTTCTGGCAATCCATCTCAATTATCAGCCAATTAATGTATATTGACCTTGGACTGATTAAATATGAACTCATTCTTGAAAAAAATTCCGATTTTTAATGTTTAAAGTCTTATTTTACAGGTATTTTGGGTAACTGAAAGAGCGCTTTGATTCTCGTGCCTGAAGCCTTTTGCTGTCTTTCAAACAAAGAAAAAGTTTCGAACTGAAGTACACAACTGTTCGAAGCCTTTCTCTGAAAGCAAACAAATTATTGTCCTGTGCATATGCTAATCAAAAATTAGTTTCGCGCAATAGCTTCTTCTTTGGAAGTGTTTCTTGAATGTCATCAGATTATTTGATAGAGGTAGTAGTGGCGTTGTAGATGTAGCTTTAACAGGATTAAGCAGTTGATTAGTTCTGTTTTGCAATGTTTGTTAGCTGTTGTAAAACTTCACGATGGAAGTCCATGTGGCAGCTGTAATTAACAGCATGGCAACTGCAGTTGGTGACGGTCCGAGTGGTTGCTTGGAATTTTTCCACCCATGTTACGTGTTGATAAAGGAATAGTTCTTAGTTGTATGACTCGCCGAGTTGAAATGGCAAAGAATAAATGCTGTTTGGAGGAAGAGATGAGCACATCATTTAAACGAAGCTATTATCTTTCTTGCACAAGCTTTTGGTCACTATCTTCTAACTGATTATTTTGGCTTAAACAATGACTTTACTCCCTCTCTCATGCAATTTTACGCAGTACTTAAAATTAAATAAGGGCGTAAAACAGTTTCTTTTTTGCTCATGTTGTTTTAGGATAAGGAATAGTGCTTTTATGCGAATGAAAACTTTTCTGACATTATGTGTGCTGACATACAAAATTCGATTTGAGACGATGTGGTATATATAACATGCAGGGAATCAAAATCAAACACTATTGGTCCATGTGCTCAAGAGTTTCTACTGGAAAGTTTAAATCATGACCATAATTTTAAGAATGTTCTAACAGACGACTTAATTGTTTCCTTCGTTCGTTACTTGCACTAGATACGCTGATTGAAGTCAACTTTAATTCAAATCTAGAAAAGCAAATTCAATTCATTTTTAATGCAAATACTATGGCATTTGCTGGTATCATCCTTCAAAACGTTCTAAGCTCTAATCCCTTTTGAATTATTATTAATCACTAATAGTTTCTGTTGATAAAACTTGAACAATGGTAGTCGAAGATGAAGAATTCAAATTCAAGGCTCAAAGTCATATTTTCTAACTAAATTCTAGCTTAATATTATTAATTATTAATGGTTTTCATAAAACTTAGCTAAAGGTAATCGTGAATGCAGAATCCCAATATAAGGTCAATATCCATATTTTTAGTATCTCAGAACACTTGATCGAACAAAGTCGGGCGTAAACTCGAGGTTAATCTTTCCTTCACGTCAAATGAACTGTCATTCTAAGTTTTTCTGCCTCTCTGTTACAAGAAGCAAGCTAGAAAACATCAATTTGATAGCAAGTACAATAATATAACAGTTTTGTGAATGATTGTCAGCGGGTGCAGACAGCTGGAAATATATGTCAGAACATTTTTGAGCAATGAGGCGGATGTGGATGTGAATGTAAGCATTCTTTTGGCCCACACCCACACCCTGACTACTTCGAGTATTTGATGAAATATAACTTGATAAACTTGCTCATATTGCTGTTTGTGTACTTGGGACTATTCTTGCTATGCTCTCGGTATTAAAATAGCATCTGAAGAGTTATGAAATATTGTAGAATTATAGAACACGACTTGGGCTATCAGTATATGTAGAAAGCAAATTTTCTCAAGCCTTACGTAAAATTTTATAGTATCGGTGCCACTCCTTTTAGTATGCTCTAAGTAGTTCTGTACATAAATGACTCATGATTGAAAGAAAAAGAAGAACCCAAAAGAAAAGCGTAAAGGTAGCATATAAGGGTTTCCAACAAGAGAAGAGAACAGAACAAAAAATGCACTCAATAACAGGGTGTCGTCATGATTATTGTACGTTCGTATTCTCTTCCCAACCTATACAAATGTTATATCGTTTCTTGTTTTTCTTTTTATCTCACGTGTTTCATTTTTCTCATCGCACATTGCTTATGTAATCAATTTTTAACATGACTACCATTCCTACTAACGCTACAAAATTCGCAATTCGAACTCAGCAAAGTATGTTTAAAAACTGTTTGTTCTGCTGTTTCATAGCACTTTGGCATTATCGTTTATTAAATAGGATGGGGTAGTCTGATCAAACCCTACATATTCTCAACATTAGCAATCGGTACAAGTGTTACAACAGGCGATTTTGTATGTCAATATCTAGAAAGAAATAAGAACAACACCACAGACAATAACATCGCTCTAACGTCATCGTCGTCGTTACTTACCTGGTGGAACAGGCAACGTTCGTTAGTCATGTGTACGTCAGCTATTTTCGTAACAACACCATGGATCTTCACACTATCAAGAATAATTGAACAACTATTTCCAGGTTAGCACAGACTGAGAGTGTCAGCAGATATTAACATTTGATGCTCCGGAATCATAACTGATTTATATCTTTTGAAAGTGTCGATAATGATCAAATTCAGAGCCATCTTGGGAATATACGGTAGCACTTTGTATTCAGTTTCATCTTGGTTCGAAGAAGAGCAGTTTTGTTTAGTTTCTTAAATTTAGAGCGCCTCTTCTCCCTCTGTCTTTTTGTATCTTCAATAGGGAAACAAGGTATTCGAATCGCAAAAAAAATGTTGACCAACACACTGCTTGCACCTATTGGTATAAGTCTTGTCTTTACATCTGTCACCCTTCTAAACGGCCAATCTCTTCGTGAAGCAAGAACAAAAATCAAAACTGACATGCCGAAAACCTTTCTAGCTGGTACATGCTACTGGCCATTTGTCTCATTTATTAACTTCCGGTTTATACCATTGAATTATCGACCATTTGTTGGAAGCTTGGCTGGAGCTATATGGAATGTTTATATTTCGTCAGTTGCTAACAAGACGGTTGAAAGTTTAAATGACACTCCAACACAATTGATAAGAACTACGACAACTGTCATAGCTGAAACAGGTGGAAAGGCAACACCAGCACGACGAGAGGCATGACAGATTATAATAAAAAAGACATCAGTTCCTAGGATTCGACCACAGTTCTAATTCAGGCGTAGAGATCGACACGGGTCAGATTTTTCAAAATTTAAACCGAACTGAACTGAAAGAGATATTATTTAAAATTTCATCAAAGGTTACTAAAATTATTCAATTCTTGTGTCAACTTGCGCGCACCGTTTCAAATGATTATCATTTAAAGTTTTGTTCCTATAATACGATACTGTGTGCCAGAAGACCCCATATAATGAGAATCCTCCAGAAAGAGCGACGCCTAAAGATAAAAGAGCTATTCTTCTATGATGTATTTTAAATCAGCTTAAAATATCACATGAATATGTATGTAGTCATCAATCATTTGTTTATCTATTGTCTTGTTTGGATGACAGTAACGTTGAGCACTTCAATTTAGACAATTGAGTGTCATAGCCATTGGCTATGATAAGGTGGGGGTAGGTGAGTTTGGGTGGGGGTGTAGAGTCTGGTTATTGGTGTGGCATCCATGTAGCTGCCAAGTTTACATGACACTCAGTCCCGCATCAACAAGCAATCTACTCACATCCACATCCAGTATGTGTAAGTTTCAGTATGTATAAAACTCTTCTACTACGAACACAGTCAATTTCATGTTCTCTTTTCATAAACTCCATTGATATTCTATCTTCTATCAACAAAAGATAGGTACATGCACAATAAAAACGTTGGATAACAGACACACTTGATAAAAATTTTAATTTTAATTTTTTTCACTCATTCAACGTATCAATACGTACAACTACAACTCCAAAGTTTTAAGGTCTAATATCCTTCCTATTAAAAGCTAATCAATATCAACAGCTAGCACTATCATACCGGTCTTGGGAGAAAACAAGGAAAACTACCTTGAAAAAAATGTTCCAGCTTGCGTTTGAACAGATCGTTGAAATTTTTCGTGATATATATTAGACGTTAGAGAATAAAAAGTTGAGCAAAATAAGCTATATTGATATAATATAATGTCTAGCAACTCAAGTTTTATAGAGCCAGCATGAATCAAAGAAGTCCTTTTGATCAATTCAAATACTACAATGTACTTCCTGTTGTATTTTAGAATCAGAAGACCCAAAGCAGAATTTCATACATGTCGTGTAATTGTTTTTTCTTTACAGGATGATAAAAAGAATGTTAAAAAAAGCCTAAAATCAGTGCAAAACGTAGCGTACACCTCCTCATTTTTGATGGTTTTCAAATAGAAAATGAGCACTTCCAGCGATTTTCATTGCCATGGCACACTGCTAAAGCCAACAAGATACGATATTCGGAGTCAGCATAAAAAACTGCAGCTGATCATATATATTTTTGGAAAAATTTATTTTTGTCCAAAAGTGGCCTGTGGTTCTCTATAGCTATATTTGAAAGATTTTTTTCTGCCTAATCCCCCATGCGTCATGTTCGGACAGGAAAAAGGTTTTACTAAAATATTTTTGATTAGATGCAGTTTTTTACGGTGACTCCGAATATCATATCTTGTTTGCTTTAGCAGTCTTATGGCAATGAAAGCCAATGAAAATGCTCATTTTCTATTGAAAAACCATCAAAAATGAGGAGGTATATGCCACGTTTCGCACCGATTATAATTTTTTTTCTAACATTTCTTTTTATCATTTTGTAAAGAAAAAAATAATTGTGCAACATATGAAATTCAGCTTCGGTTCTTGTAATTCTGAAACACAACAGGAAGTTCATTGCAGTATTTGAACTGATCGAAAGGACTCCTTTGATTCATGCTGGTTCTATAAAATCTGAGTTGCTAGACATTATATTATATCAATATAGCTTATTTTGTTCAGCTTTTTATTCTCTACCTTCTAATATATATCATGGATAATTTCAATGATCTGTTCAAAAGCCAGCTGGCACATCTTTTTTCAGGTATTTTTCCTTGTTTTCTCTCATCATCGAATATTATGACGCGTTTCTCACGCTGAAATGACTAATGTGGCCCAGTTTCTATTTAAAAATAGTTTTCAATGCCAGCTAAACGTCGCTATTGCGTGGAGAGTTCCAGTGACTGGAAATTATATTCAAAATAAGAGTTTGAGCGTTCAGAAATCTTCGAGCACATTCATCTTCTGTGCACCAAACGTCCTGAATGAAAAACCCTAAGAGACACAAAAGATATTTCGTACACAGACGACATTGCTCTTGATGTGTGTACCGAGACGGATGGAGACGCCAGTCAACATGTGGACACTATCACTGACGGCTTGATTGTGGAATACCCGTGATAATAGAGTAGCATTCGTGATCACTGATCTTCTCTTAATTAATAATCCAGTCGGCAAGTTAGATCATGTTCGGTGGCTGATTGATTACTCACAAAGCTGTAAGTTTAATTCCTGGATTCAGAGAAACACTAGAATATTTCCAAATGTATTGATTTAAGAAAGCTCTCTCAGAAAATCCAAGAAAGTTCGTAGTTGAGCTTCTACGATCGAAAGATGCAGCGAAATTTCCTCTTTCAGAATCTGCATAACTTTTCTCAAAACGGCCAAATATGAAGAGACTTTCAAAGAAAGCTGTGATTCTACTATCGTGTTTTCTCAAAAAATTTCCCAGTTTTGGCAGAACTGCCTTTTTATTTGTATTAACATTGAATAAATTGTTTTGCTTATTTAAGTATAACCGATTATAGTAGTTTAAATCATTTATTATGTGCTGTCGAAAATTTTACAGATTCATATTGTGAATATGCCATTTAAATATGGTTCTTTTCTGAGCTCGAATGAAAAAATCGATGTCAAAATTTTTGATCATTTTTCTCTAAACGTGGTTATTAATCAGAAAAATTGAAATTGTTCTCATATGGTTAAAGATATATCCAATATTTTCTTTTGTTTTAAAGGTTTAAATGTCAGTAAGTTTTTGTCAGACCAGACTTTTTGTAGTTTGTTCCTATAATGAGATATGTGTGATTCAGTAGGGTGTGGGCGTGGGTTTCTTCTCTTTCTCAATATCGGCACCCACACCCATACTCTCACATCTACCCACAGTCACACCACACCCTCACACCCGCACCCACCCACACCCACACCCTTTATAAAGTGAATTAGGATCAGAAAATCCAATCTTGTATACAACATATGAATGGGAGCAGGTTACAATGACCAATCTAAATAATACTTCAAATCGAACTCATTAATATTAGATAACTATTATGAATAAAATTCTATTTTGAATAAAACTTTAACTTTTCATTGAAATAAAACTTTGCTAAAAACTCGTATTTTACAGAATATAAGAAAGTCGCTAACTATCACAAAAACTCATTGATGTGTGATTGACGTTCACGGCTATAAATTCAAGCAGATGTTTTCTTTTAATAAACAGTATCAATTGTTTGTCAAAAGGTTGTTTTTAACACAAATTACAAAACAAGTTAAAATATAGAAAAAAAAACATGAAAAAAAGTTATAGTTTTAATAATTATAAGGTCGAAATTCTTTTGAAAATCGATTATATAAACCATTATTACAACGATGATTGTTTGAATACCCATCATTATTGTTAGTCCATCCAGATTGATAAGACAATATCAGTGCTGAAGTATGAAAAATAGTTGCTGTTGATGAATAAAATACTTTCTTAAATTGTCTATTTTTAGTAAATGATGGTGGAAATTTTGAAGAAATAGAACGTGACGTTCTTAATGGAAAAGATAAGATACTAAAAATAGTATCGTCATTTCTGCTAAAAGAAAAAAAAATCTTATTTCATTTCTTCCTTGCTTATTCTATGATCGATATTTGTATTATATGTATTATTATCTTGATAATTAAAGCTATTGAAAGAATGATTACATCCACCATAGAAGAGTCTTTGATAATTGTCTTTATTCGATGGAAATAGCTGATCAGGACGAGATTCAGATGAAGATTCACTAAAATAATATCTCATTGTGTGGAACGCTCATATATTTTCGAAGAAAATAATGAGTGTAAGTTTTAAGTCGAAGTTTCGTGGCTGCTCCCTCTTCCCTTTCCATTACAGACATAGAGAAATAGAAGCCCCATTACAGATTTTAGCAATAGAAAATAATAGGGCGCAGGCTTTCTAAAGTTTTTTTAACCAAATTGATCAAGCTATAATTTTGAAAAATAATGAATATCATTGTTTCTGTGTTAATTAATATATAAAAAGGTGCGTATAGTCTGTTACAGATGTATTAGATATATAAAACATATTTATTTGTCAATTAATGCAATGATAATAATAATAGGAATATTAAATTCAAAAACACGAATTTAAAAAAACGAAAAATAATGAGCGAATAGCAACAATGTAAACAAAAAATCGGGTGCTCGTTGGAAAAAAATTCAAATGTCTGTTAAAAATGCAGCAACTAGAGATGTCTTTACTCTGGTGATCGATCGTGCTGCAAAACAACTATAGTCCAAGAGAGATTTTTCATTCTACATATTTGGTATTAGTTTAATGAAACTAGAGAATATATGTGAGTTCCACATTTTCGTCCTGTAGGGGCTGCGTTAACAAACTTTTTAGTTCTATTTATGGCTTTAATAAAAAAAAATCAATCTCACTTAAAATTTGAATTTACAGGTTATTCTCTTTTATTATATTTGGAAATTTGTTCACATAGAACATGTTCAAGTTGTTGATCAATTAACAGACGAATTACATTACATAATTGTTCAAATGATTTGAAACGATTAATAATATTATTTGGTTCTTGGGTACATCGTATAATTAATGCTTTTATAACTGGTCGAAATACAACAATTTTTGATTCTATTTCAATACTTATTTTTAACATGATCCTCAATAAATTCAGAATGAATATTTCATTAAAAAAAATATATAAATTCAAATCGCTTATTAAGACAAATAAAATTTGATTTTTAATAACATTAGCTATGGAATGTTCATAACGTGCTTTTAAACATAAATAAAAAGAATAACTAGATCTTGTTTGATCAGTTCAACCATGTCTTTGTGTTAAATTTCTTTTTGGTGCTCAAATATTGCCGTAATTTGTCTTTATAAATCAAATAAGCTTAGTTGAGCAATATAATTTCAATTAAAATAATATAAATAAAATGCAGTAAAATAGAGAATGTAACGATATAATGTATTTTTTCATTTATTCAAATGAAGAAAACACATCTATTGTAGAAATTCATGAATTTTCGACTTTATTTATTATAAGCACATGAGAATTATAAAAAAACATTTAAAACAGGTTATGTTGGATAAATTAATGAAGATAGTTATGATGTAAAGATATGGTAAAGATATGAAAAGTAAAACTGTCAGTGATAATGGTTACACAAGTGATCTGAGTCAAGTTGGTATTGGTATAAGTAGTTCAACTGAAGATGACTGTGAAATGAAGTTCACGTGATTCGTGAATTTTTACAATAGATGTATTTTCTTTATTTTAATAAATGGAAAAAATATACTACATCGTTACACTCTCTATTTTACTGCATTTTATTCATTTATTTCAATAATTTTTCTCCTTATTAGCCATTTACTCCCTCATTGGATCATCAGTAACCCATCTGTAGAACGATCGCAGAAAATGAAGGAAGCATGAGACTGAAAAAACACCCAAGACATTATTTGTAGGAAACGCCACACACTATCGATTGTTAAGAAGAATATTTTGTTTTATTGCTGTGCCTTCGAGATATATGTCTTAAAAAATCGATAATTTTGAAAAAAAATGCACAACTTCGAAATTTTTTAATTCCTTGATTACCGATGACGCATATATGCATCATAAACTTAATCATCACTGGAAATTAATGCAATTACTTTTTATATAGGTTTATTAAATACATTTGAGTAAAAGCCAACGTCAAATAATAGGAAAATGCTACATTATAATTTTTTTACAGTTCATGCTAAACCTCTGTGGTAAGAAACACAAACGTACGTGATGTGCAGCCGCTCTATTTTAATTATGTTTATCTTTTGTCGGTAACCAAAGAGTTAAACTCAATATTCTCTACTTATAGTTGATACAGTTTTCTTGGAATTTTTGTCATGTCAATCAATGAAGAAGTTCACTGCTGCATTAGATATGTTTCGAATGCTTCATCACAACTTCGCGAGTTAAGCATACTAAGGAGCACGATTGACTATGTAGTCACTCTTAGGCAGATCGAGGGTAATCAAGAACAAAATTAATCTATGCGTTATAGTCCTCAACTCATAAGAAGTTGAAACAGTATTTATGATAAATTGAATTTCTTTAGACACTATAAAATGGCTCAGAGTAAAATAGGCTTGAATTTAATAATAGATTTAAAAAAGCATGTATTGTTTGGTGTTAATTTTTATCGGTTCACTCTTTTTATTTTTCCTATCACATCAACAGTACGATATAGATACTGCTTCTACCCAGTCAATAATGCTGATAAAGATAAAAATGAAGTCTTATGATGTCGTTCAATTTCCTTTTTCCAACATAGGATTTTTAGATCGACCAAACTTCCATAGTCTAGGAATAGGACATCCGGTGAATTAGGTCGCACAATTGCCACATTCGAGAGGCTAATAGTCTATTTATAAAGTTATGTTATCAGTGGCTCTTATGGAACTGCTATGGAGAGTAAAGGGTTAAATAATAAAGATAAATTTTGTTTTGCTTTACAATTCTCAATTATATAAAAACAACATCATCAACTGTTACATCTGATTCAGCTGAAGAACATACTCATTAAGCACATAACGAAGTAAGCTATTCCTGGTTCTTTCTCGTGATGATCTTTCTTTTATTTTCTTTGTATTGTTTTTTTTATTCTTATTTTAATTTAAAACCAACAAAAAAATAATAGAAAAATACATTTGCTGATTATTATGATTTTATTCGTTCATAATCACTTTTTAGTTTTTTTCCACCTCATTGATGGTATCCATAATGTCATCGGAAACAAATTTGGCAGATGATACCAGTTCCATAGGTTTTTCGCGATCACCTTTTCCAAGCGCTTCAAATGCTGATTTCAGTCCTTGATTAAGTTGCTCGTGTATTTTTTTAATCTTCAATAACAAATCGTTTACCATAAAGATATAAATATTTATTTTAAATGGCAATGCATTGAAGTACTTTAGGATATAAATCTCTATCTTTATCCGTTGTTGACATATTTTTTGTTTATTTATGTAACGGTGGTACTGTGTTCCAAGAACTGATAATAATTTGTGATTATCTTCAAGGTTATTTTCATATAGTCCCTTTCACTGTATCAAATATTTTTCTACCCAAAAAATAAAATAATAGGACATGTCTTATTATTTGATTTTCGGTTTGAACTCAGATGCGGAATCGAATTTCCTACTGAAACTACATCTTTCGACTTATTGAGATTATTTTGACTGAAACTCATTCCTCATATTTGATTTGACAGGTGAATGGGAATTTTAATACTTTTTTATTTTGAAACATTGTTTGGAATATGAATTATCTGTATCACATCTGATTGAAGTATAAGAAAGAGAATCGAGTTTGAACTATGAAGAAATGAAATCATCTTCAATCGATCGAGAAAAAATGAATTTTAAAGAAATGAAAAATCTGTCTTTGATTGATTGAACAATCGAATATGATACTATCGTAATAGAAAAAAAAATTGATCTGATCAGTTAATACATTCATAATGAGTAACTACTAACTGAACAAGATATCTGATACAATCGTAGATAAGTCGATGAAATCAATAACGACTGAATTCCTTTCTTTTTCACGTTATAAGTTCATATGGTATTTATCGAATTTTTCGTCCCTCCATTTTGTTTCAGTTGTTTTCATCAAAACTGTTGTTCAACTATAGTTAAAAATATTTGTTTGTGAACTATTTGTTGAATGTTTACTTTCAAATTTGATCATTCTAATGATGTAAAAACCATCTAAACACCGAAAAAATACAAAAAATAACAGTCTAGAACTAATTTGATCATAAAATGAACTTAAAATAACCATCAGAATTTCATCTTGCTCTTACAATATTCCATTTGCTCGAATAGCATATGATTCTGTGAAAATCTTTTCACTTACGATGATAAGGTATCACTTTCAGATATTATCAACAATCAATTTCAACGAAGTAAAATCGAGTCGAAAATTAACACACTCAACAAAATTGATCATTTATCAGATAATAGAAGGATATTGAAAACTAATAGAATTTATTGATCTGCTTACTTTCCACAGATGAGTACTTATGCTCATTAAAAAAAATATTTTTATACACTTACTTGAGAAACCAATAGGCGATGACTTGTTTTTTTCATCATGAAGCAAATCCTGTTGATCTCACATTCAAGTATCATTTCTTGATTTATTACAGTTACATTGTTAGATTACAATTTTCATAAATCAATAACTCTGAATAAACCTTGTTTTGAAAACATAATTTATTTTTCATTTATTTTCACATGATGCACTCTGTCTCAAGGTCACAAATCTCTACAGTAAAATTTTGAAGCATAATGAAATATAAATACTTGATATGCATGCTCACTGGCATCGGATGAAAAGACAAGAACGCTATAATTTTTCTCTTGGAAAGGTAAATGAAAGATTGAAGAGTAACACAGGTAAGTATCTTTGATTGGTGCTTAAGAATTGAATGAAACTATACAAATATATATTCTCTCATCAGCGATGATTAATATTGATTTTATACTTTTTTCGTGATTTAATTAGCGTCCTTCTTCAAAAGTATGCGTTGAAACGCATATTTTCTTTGAATTTTATTTCACGGGTCGTAATTAAAAATTGCATTATGCATAACTTAGTCCATGAATCTAGAATAAATGGTTTGTATGGAAAAATGTACTAGTGGAAGAGAGGAAAAGAGTTTGATTCTGAAATCCTGGTGTTTTGTGTCTCATGGCGGTGATAGTTTTTGTGGAATATTTAGATCTGATTGGCCTACCAAGAATCAAAATCAGCTATGACAAGCTTGGAAATAGTTTCTGATTGTGTAGCATCACAAAACCTTTTTCCTTTCCTATCCTTCAATAAAATGCAATCGTTGTCATGTTGCGAATTCTTTTTTTATTCTGCTTGTTGAGTGAAGTGATAGAAGTTTTTTTTCAAACAATGGATAAGAAATACGTGAAAACGAATTACGTACAACTGTAATGGAATGAAACCATAGCAATGAAGGGCAGATATGTTTCGGCTCCTCTGTAGCTGACAGAATAAGCAAGAAGCATTATTCAGCATAAACTTTATACATACATTTATTAACGTTCGTGCATCTCGTACATCAAGCACAGAGCAACGTCTAGAAATGAAAAATGATTTCCAACTTCTACCGGTGAACGAAATTCATCAAAACATTCGCATACCTGATGAAACAGTAAGTTCGCACGTAATCTGTACTGCCTTACAAAACTTTTGGTTGGCTGTAGTCTCCATCAGATGATATACTCAACAAAAGCGCTTCATCTTTGCCGCACCAGCAGAGAAAGTATGCAGAAAATCAATGATGTCTATTGAATTCATTCTATTCAACAAATGTAATAACGTTGTCTTCAGGTCGAAACGAATGGTCTGTCTAATAGTTGCTAGTATTATAGGTTTATTGGTGGTGGCTATAATGTTGTCAGGCGGTTTCTATATACTAAATATCAGAAAAAGCAAAACAAGCTCGGGTAATATTCATCTTCTAATTTCGCTACCGTGTGCCTGGCACCTAATGTAGATTTAGCCTTGAGAGAAAATGCATCTGTAGGATTGAACACAGCGGATGTAGATATGCAGGTAGGTGTCTGTGAATTTGTCCTGGTAAAAGTATAGTCTTCATCCGCACTGACTTTCCAGTGATTCAATCAGTTTTGCTCTCGTAAGTTTTTAAATGTGAGCTGTTACACACCTAATCTTGCTGCGTTTTTCCGAATAAAACTACTTTTTTATTGAACACTTTAGCAATCTTCGGCAAAAATATGACAAGCTTCCTGTTCAACACTACCGGCAGGGGTAAGTTTTGTCTATGAAAGAGACTATTTGAAATCTTTTCAAATAAAGAACACAGCGGCGACAATCGTAATCGTACATAATCAATATCTAAAATTGCTTGAGAAAGTAACCACCTTGCAGCAATCTCAGTATTGAAGTAGTTCTCTCTTTGAAACTGTAAAGTTCTATTAGGAGTAGTAAGATGGTACGTGTAATTAACATAATAGAACAAAAAGTAAGGGGACAATATGAAGGAAAAGAAATCTTGGCAGGATTAAATTTAAAAACAAAATGACATGAGATAAAAACTACGATGACCGTATTAGTTTTCTTCATTGCTTCGATCCATGGAACAACCTTCAAAGTAGATACTTATCAATATAGTGGTCCTACAATAGGTATAAAAATCATGTTTATGCACAAGATCGATTGAACAGCTTTCATACCAATAGGTTGTAATTTCTATTGACTGACTCAGAAGTTTGGTAATTTTTGTCACTTGCGTCACCGATATGTTTCTGAAGGAAGCATGAGTTAATTTTTTGTGTGAGACGACTTCTACTAGTCTAGAACTATTGTCACGGGAAATTTCAGGTTTCACATGTTTGGTCGTGTTCAAGAAATTCCTTGGAAGATGGTATCCTATTAACATCGTATTTTGAGGAGAAAATCCATTCAGGATTTTATTAAAAAGTGAATCAGCTTGATCGGTGAGGACGCGCAGCAGTTCTTTTAAATTGTCGCAAAGAACGAAGATCTAATTCGATCCATCGTTGGTAATTGTATAGTTTTAAGTTTCTAAACTCATCTCGTCATAGTTAACATTCCATTTTGTTTTAATCACGTACATTGCCGTTATAATGTTGCAGTTGTGATTTAGGTGGACCACCCCGAGTGACCATATCAGACACAGTGATGAATTTAAAAAAAGGTCAACGTATGATTGTTCAATATCATATGCACACAAATGTAAGAAAATCAACTATTAAATTAATTAAAACTTGCGCCGTTTTTCATATCATGTGTTTGCTGTATGCATAGTTCACAGAAGAATTGAAAGTTGTATGGAGAAAATGGACAGGCAAGTGTTTTGCACCAATTTCATCGGCCATTCACACGGAGTATGGTCGCATGGTGATTGATCAAGCAACATACGAGATTGCTGGTCTCTATATGGTGACTGTCAGCAATAATTGGGGTCAAGACGAAAAACCACTGTGGATTAATGTCGCACGTAAAGGAGAACAAAAACCACAAACGATTGATCTTAATTTTACTTCAACAATCTGCGATTCAGGTCCATAGGAAGAAAAGCGAAAATAAAGTCGATGATAAAGAATCCTTTTGTGAACTTGCCAATATTCGTAGACAATTATCATATGAATATGTATCACTCATTTTTACATACAAAAAAATCTGTCTGTCTTAGATTTATAATACATCACAGAAATAGCGATGCTCTCACGACTCAAAAAAGGAAATTCGTCAAGAAAGGTACAAAGGGTGTGGATATGGATGTTGGCGTAAATAAAATGATATGACACACACCCACACCCAAAATTCTTTTCTTTAAGTTTTTCATGGTACATCAATCAAGAAGAAAAAGAATAGAATTTCAAAAGTTTCAATACGATTTTTCAAAGAAAGAAAACTTTGTCTTTTCGTGTTCGACTTCGAAAATTTTGATTGAAGAAAATACTCAAAACAGTTCGATCTGTTCGTCGTTCAAGATCAAAACATTGATTCATTCTGATGAATACGAACTCTCGATTTATGTTATTCTGAAGATTAACATGATAATTTGAGATGATATTATTGGGTTTTTTTTTGCATCCCCTCAAATATGATATTACTATATAGGATACAAACGAGGTTCACATTGTCCAACCTAAAAGGAATCATTTCTGTCTATTCTAAATTATATGAAGAAACAATCAGCAACATTTTAAACAGTGTTTCAATTAGAAATTCAAAAAGAATCACATGAGAATATTTGTTAATCTGAGGAGACTCTTCAAATTCAGTTCTCTTTTGCTTGTGATTCATTCGAAATTCAATGCATGGTGTCGATTTTCATACGTTGACTCAAATGTATTGATGTTTTTTTCTTCAAAGATTTCAATTCTCTATTGTCCAGACGAAATTTTTTTTTTTGTCAACGGAAATCAATGACCTTATACTTTCGAAATATTGATTAATTCCAGAAGAACTCATCAAATATTAATAGAACAACGATCTTTTAAAGCAAAACTAATAGAATAAATTTACACATGAGTCGAAAATTAGGTTGTGAGTCTGATCAAAGAGATCATCCACATCTACACCTCATTAATGCTGAGAATTAGCATGAATTTCATAAAATTTAAATGGTTTTATTTCTAGTTTAATCAATTAAAAATAATTTTTTTTCAACATCAAAGTCGGACTTTTGACTTCTTTAATTAATTTCTGTAATGTTTGTCAAAACACTCGATTTTCGTCTGATCTTCACCGCATTCTTTGTTTCCTGGATTTATTATTTGCTTTACTACACTGCTTAGTTGCAATAATAATCGCAAATTTTCTCTATTTAATCAGATTTCACTCATAACTCCTACATTGAAACAAGTAAATGTTGGACAAACATCAAGATAAAACTTGCATGTAGCCGAACGTTTGATAAACTTGCATTCTTTTCTTTCATCAATTACCATGCATGTTGTTTGCCAATAGATTTTATCTTTCGTTAGATTTCTGTTCTTTGAGAACAGAAAAACAATAAAAGTACAACTACAAAGAGTAATTGTATCTCTATTTATTCGAAGTAAGATAACGAACAAACTTGCAAAATGAAAAATTCAATAGTTATTTAACAGGTGATCGGGAGCCGTTTTCTCTGGATCTGAGATCAATTTGACGGTTTCTAGTCGATGTATGTCGATTGGTACCAGTGAAGATTAGTAAAATGCAATGTTTAACATCAATTGTCTCTTTAAAACATCTTTTTCTTTTTTTACAAACTATGAATCTAACTTCGAGGAAGTATCTTTGATTATAAACAAACAAAAAGGACACTTTAACAACACCCAATCTTAATTTGTCACTTAGTATGTTAGGCGACTAGAAGATATTAGTTTTGTAATATGCCAGAATTCATGTGAGCAATGTTGAATTAAAAACTAAAATAATTGTCATGGCTGATGAGCAAGATGACATCATAGTTTCTCGGCATGGGATGTAGCACAGATTAATAATTATGTTTCAAAAAATAGTAGATATAAATTTGTAATTGAGTTTCCGACTTCCCGTCTTCCTCGCAGAAAGTTCTTCATAAAAGAAAAAAATATATCTTTTGCTCAATGATTACACAGCATTGCATAGGCTGTGACACGACAGGAAACTATTAATAACGAGATAAATGAAAGATAAATGGTCCGCAAAATTGTAATGTAGAATCATGTTCTTCAATAGTTTGCAGTGATATAATGAATGTGAGCATTAAATTGAAGCAACCAATAATGTAATCTATGTCAATTTTGAGGACACATACCCTTATGTAAAAAGAAAACAATAGAAAAGATAGATATAATTACATATTATAAGATTAAATTCTAATCAGACAACATAATGTCATAAGACGTTGAAGAATAATAAGTTTTACATGTATATAAATATAATAATAATATCGATATTTCTTTGAAATGATAGTAAACATTCGAGAAAAAAATATATATGTACACTTCGATATTAATATGCTAAAATTGGCTCAGATATAAAGTAGAATCTATTCCATATAAAATAATTAAAGACAAAGTTACTTCGAAAAAAAATCAGTGCAAAACGTTATTCCTGACTTCTGCTTTGATGCAAAGATAATCAACGTTTCCGAGTCGATTCAATTGGTAATCAGGTTTGACGTAATAATATGTCGAAGTAAAATTTAAAAACAATTTTTTATGAACTGTTTCAGAGGGATGAAAAAAGAGAGAAAGCATGACTAAATGTAGTCTTGAATGTTCACTACTCAATGATTAGTTTGAAATTACGTTGAGATTGTAAAAATCTTTTGAAAATTTTATTCATATCATGATACAAACTAAACTTTCAGTTAAACGGCTAAACATTGTAGGGAAGGACTATAGATTTTTATACTTTTGAAGTTTCTAATACTTTGTTGGGATCTACCTTATGTATAAAGTTAATAAAATAATTGCTATTGAACTGACTGTTTCATATAATGAATAAATCAGCGTATGTTCTTCGCTGAAGTGGAGGTACACATCTTCATTGCTTAAAATACTTTGCACAAAAAAGAAAGACTTGCTTTCAGATACTAATCATAGCCCTTTTTTGCTCTGTCGCTTGTCTTTAATTTCTATTCTATAATAATAAGACGCTATTTTGTATACAAATTTATCTTATTTAGACACTCATGTTGTTTTATTATTTTACACAAATCTATTACAGTAAATTTTTGGCTTTTTGAATAACGATTGATTTGACAAAAATAATAAAATCGAAATTGTACATTTTCACGAACAAAAAAAAAGGAATAATGAGCATACATTTCGTACATTATAATAAATTAGAACAGGAATGATTATTTTCTTTTTGATTTGCTTATTCTTTACGAACTACAACATGTACTTTTCCTTTTTCCTTTTTGCGCATGTCGATCTGGTGGACCACTGCCAGTTACACGACGTTCATCAAGTGTATCAAACCAATTATCCACAGAACCCATTAGTACTTTGACAACATACTTATAAAGAGAAAAAGAACTTTTTTTCTTTTATTAGAAAAATCAATTTTTTTCACTTACATCACCAAAACTAAATGGAAAATCTTTTCCTTGTGCTTTATGTATTTCTTCTCTTTCTGATCTATAATCATCAGCAACGTCAATATTAGGTATTTTCTTATCCCAATCATTAAGATAACTATTAATAATAATAATAATAATAAAAGATAATTAATACATTTAAAAAAAAGAAAAAATTCTTGTACCCAATACATTCGTTATCATCTGTACAAGCTATAATTGTAACTGGAATGCGATTAATTGGATTTCGTTCATGACGAAGTGCATGTTCTAATGTTTTTGTATCTTGTTGTCCACTATCATTTGTTGGTATACCATCTGTAGCAATCAATATTAATAATTTACGTTCTTGAACTTCAAGCCGTTTTTCTTGTAAAACTTGTCGAAGTATACGAACAATTGGCGTTGGTCCTATGATAATATCGTAATTTATAAAATTTTTTTTTTTCATATCCTCATTTACCAGCCGGTGGGACAGCAAATACAGAACTAAGTTGTTCAGCATTTTTAACATTACGCATTGGCTGACGATTTAAAAAGAAAATGTCTAAAATTAAAAAATTAAATTATTATGAAAACTTTAGTTTTGTTTCTTTAATTTACCAACACCATTTGGATCAAAACTTCATTTTATATATGTATATAGAAAGATAAATATCAATTTTAATATAAAAAAAAAAAAAAAAACTAACTCACGCAGAAGCAATATCAACGACAATTGAAACTGTTTGTCGAAGTTCATCCCATCTTGTCGGATTACGATCGTATGGACCAGTTATATCACCTAATTTAGTTCAAATATTCATTATATATAACAAATTTTTCTTAGAAATAACAGGTGCATCAGAATAAATATCTCTCGAAGTGTTTTCTTAATATCGCAGTCAAGACTGTTCATCATGTAGAACTCAGGTTTACGATTCAATTTTCCATACGAGTTTTACTACAAAATTAGATAAATCATACTGAGAAAAATCTGATATGGCTAATTTGAACAAATAAAAAACAGTTCGTTTAGATCTATTCATTGGAGTTTTAAAACTAACGAAGAAAAAGGAATAGATAGCAATCTTGTAGCGTTTGAAAAGCTTTATTTTGTAATTAGGACAGTGTATCATGCATGAATCGATGGAAAAAAAATGAGTTCATATAACTCAATTTTATTTCAAAAGAAATGATTGGTACAGTAGATTGAAATATCAGAATTTGAATAAGACTTTTTATTCGTGTATATTCCGTAAAACAAGCAAAGTTTTAATAGAGTAAGTTTTTGTGTCAAAGTGGTCAAGTTGAAAAGCTAGAAAAAAAACACGATTGTATTGTTCTGAAAACAACTTTTGAAAATTGGGCATGTTTGAGGTTTATATTATTATTTATCTAATATTTATGCTGAATATTTTTTGTAGCGAAACTTGTGATACGTTCTTGTAGAAAATTGAATTGTGAATCTTTTTGAAAAAGAAAAGATTAAGGTATAATGGCACATTAAGAAAATTCTTAGAGATTCATTTATTCTTGCACATCCATTATCTTACCAAGTGGTGTATTCATTGATCCAGAATCTAAATAGATTTAAAAAGAAATTATTATTATGGAAAATAGAATTATCAAAAGTGGTTTTTTTATATATTAATGACGAGATTATTTGTCAAAACAAAATTTTTTGTTCAATATCATCATCATCATCTTACCATCGACAATAAATACAATTTCATATCCTTCTAATCCTCGTAGTCTTGTTGCGAATTCTCGATTTATTTCATATCGATCAACTAGATATTGAAATTTTCTCATACGTTCATCATTTGTTTCTTGTAATGAACTATAACCAACTTGATTTTGTGGTGATGATAATGCAGGATATTGCTGTGGATACATGTTTAATATAATGTTAGTTTCTACGTAATAAAAAAAAAAAATTTTTTCATAACGTCTTTTTCTTCTTTGCCTTTATCTTAACTTTCTGTTTGAACAAGAAAAGAAAAGAAAAAAACGATCTAAAAATAGTTTGTCTTTTTAATAGATGAATTATATTGATACGTTTATTAATCAACAAAAAAAAAAAAGAAAAAAGAAAAAGAAAACAAAGAATAATGCCTGACATTGAATGTGAGTAAGCTTCTTTATATTAAAACGAATTCGATGCTGATGTTAGAAAAAAAAAAGAATGGAAGACAAACATAAAAAAACAGCAATACTTGATTGTGAATAATAGTATTGTCTATTCAGTTTTGTTTTTTTTTTCTCTTTCAAGCACGCAACAAAGTGAAAGTATATGAAAAAGACACATGCAGATGAACTTCCATCTGTGAGAATATTGTATATAAAAAAACATATAAATATATTTTATGGGGTGTATATACAAAAAAAAAAAAAAAGAAACGAATTGTCATGTGGTACATATCACTAAATATGCAATCAATTGCAATAAAATTATGCATGTATTTCACAGTTAGACCATAATGATTAAAAATGTTGATTTGTCGGCCAGAAAAAATTTGACAACCAAGAAAAAGGCCACCAAATCAAAGATGAATCTGTTTGACATGAAATTAAAATTTTATTGACAATAAAGAATATGAAATCATGCAGTTAATAGCAAATAATTAATATTTGATTAGATCTAGATATCTCCGCTATTTATTTATTAAAAGAAAAATATTCGATAGAAAGATTTTATCATCGTTTGCGGAGTTATCCAAATAAGCTTTGTTATAAGATAATACAATGCCACTTCTTACGATTAGAACCGGCACTTGTTGTTGTTCGTCCATAACCATCTGTCATTACTTTCTTTTCATCTAAATCATCAAACCAACTATCAACACCACCCATTAGAATTTTAACAACATACTTCATAAATATAGAAAAGAAATCAATCAAGAAAAAGAAGAAAAAAAGCCAAACACATTATTGCTTACATCACCAAAACTGAATGGAAATTGTTTTCCTTGTCGTGCTTGAATTTCTCGTTTTTCATTTCTATAATCATCCACAACATCAAGATTAGAAATTCTTTTATCCCAATCATTTAAATATCCAATACAATCATCATCATCTATTATTAAAAAAAAGTTCATTGAATATTATTGATAATTTTTCTTACCTGTACAAGCAATAATTGTTACAGGTATACGATTAACAGGTTTTCGTTCATGTTTAAGAACATATTCAAATGAACGAATATCTCGATGACCTTGATTATCAGTTGGCACACCATCGGTAGCTAAAAGTATCAATAATTTACGTTCTTCTATTTCATTTTGTTTATCACGAAGTACACGTCGAAGAACTGGAACAATTGGAGTTGGACCTTAAGAAAAATAAAATTTTTTTTTACTTTTTTTTTTCGTTTCAAGAAATTTAATTCTTCAACATACCAGACGGTGGTACAGCAAAAATAGGTATTAATTCTGATGAATTACGAACATGAAATAAAGGTTCACGATTAAGAAAATAAATATCAACACCATCTGGATCAAGAACACTTGCAATGTCAACAACAATGGATACAGTTTGCTTTAATTCATCCCCTACGATAACAAAAACAAAAGTTCTTTTCAAAAACCAAAAAATCTTCAATATAAATTCATACATCGAGATGGTGCTTTATCAAAAGGACCCGAGAGATCACCTAAGAAAATTAGAACAATCCATTTAATATATTAATAAAACAAAAAAAGGAAACATCATGCATAGATAAATTACCAAGTGGTGTATTCATTGAACCTGAATCATCACAAATGAATACAATTTCATATCCTTCAAGAGCACGTAATTTTTTAGCAAATGTATGATTAACTATATATATATAAAACAAGTCAATTATATAGGTTTGAAAAATATATATAGCTCACTTTCATAACGATCAACAAGTTGTTGAAAATCTGCCATACGTTCGTCACTAGTTGTATGATAATTTGGTAATGACTGACGATATTGTTGTTGATTGAATTGCATATCAGTATTATATGGTGGTGGTGCAGATGGTACAGATGGGTATTGTTGAGGATACATTTTTAGTTTATGTTATATGATAATATTGTAAATATTTACTATTAAATATTAACTTGATACATTTTTTATATATTGTTTTTCTTTAAGAAATCTGAAGACGCAGAAAAAAAGTTACGAAGCGAATAGAGAATATGGGCATTTCCTTTGAAGCGGAAAAGAATAACGTCAAAGAATGAGGTCGCATTTATTTCAATGTAAAATCTAATTGTCACTAGATAGAGTCAACTGTCATTTCTCTTTTCTTTTCCTAATTATTATTCATACTAATGAATAAGAAAAGAGTCATAGTGACGACTCGCGTTAAAAAAAGAAACTATCTCTCATTCATCTTGTATTCAAGTGGATAAGAGTTACTACGTCAACATTGAACTTCTTGTTTCTTATCGGCAGCATATAAATGCATTTCTTGTTTGTCGTTCATTGGATGACGATACCATAAGAAAAAGAAACACTAGGAAAAAAGAAAATGTTCTTCTTTTTTTTTCGTATATTTATTTTTTCGTTAGTAGTACAAGTGGTTGGGTGATGTAAACAAATGAAAAAAGAAAAACGAGCAAACAAAAGAACAAGAAAGGAAGAAAGAAAAAAAAAGGTCGTTCACTACATGAATATAAAGTGTGCCAGAACAAGTTAAACAGATTTAGTTTTAATGAAAGAAACAAAAAAAAAAAAAAAAAGAAAAAACGAAACAATCGTTCCTGGGTAGAAAACAAAACTCATAAAGACAAGACACAGGAAAAGTATGTATGTGTGGCACCTCCGATTAAGATTACACAGTTTCCTGAGACCAAGAGAAAAAGAGAAAGGAGGTATACAAAAATAAACTCTATTGTGTACGTATTAATAAACAAAACCATCTCATTTTTTTTCCAACCTCCAGCTTTTAACATTATTATCTTTTGCATAAGAAGGAAGTGTGTAACAACATAAACTTTTACAATTAAGTGAAGTACGCCCACAAACATACACAGTTATATATTATGTATACGAAGCAATTACAAGTGATAGACGACAAAGCTGTACATAAGAATTTTTTGTTTTTAAGCAAAACAAAAAAAAAAGAAATCAAACCGCTGTATATAAGGCAAAGACAAGTTCCAAAAAGAACAGATAGTGTTGCCGAGCAAGACCAAAAACACATTGCCTGAGCCGCCTATATACAACAACAAGAAAAAAAACCGAGTATGAGAGCGACCACTGTCACGCAATGACAAAAAAAACAAACAAACAAACAAATCTAACTACAGAATAATAGAAGACAGAGAAGAAAAAAAACTGCTTGTATGAAAAAAAAGAAAAAAAAAACAAAATGTTAGTTGTCATAATGTGACAAACCATTTGAATTTGATGTTGATGATGTTAATAATGGACCCAAGTCGGAACTTTTACTTAAATGTTTTTCTAATTTTGTTATTATATGTTTACCATAAGTAAATTTTCGAAGTGATTGAATATGTGGACGAACTTTTTGTAAGAGAATTTTTCGTTGAGCTGGTTCAGCAACATCAATCATCTATGAACATGAAACAAACAATTTTAAATTTTAAATATAAAGAATTTTGTATTAGTAAACTATGATAATTTTTTTTTTTAAATGTAAGACAGTTTATTAATGCTTCATGAAATGTCAAAGGTTTCTATGACAATAAATGGTTTGAATATCTGAAAAGTGCAAATGTTTTCTATTTTAATCCGAAGCCTTGTAGCAAAAAAAAAAGATAAACTAGCAAGTTTTATAAATCTATAATAAACATTCTAGATTATTAATATGCATGAAAATAATAATCTAACTGTTGTATGTTCACAAGAAAAAAAAAAATCTTTATTTGTGTTTGAACTGTGATTTACATGCAAATCTCGAGTACTATTTCTAGTCTAGTTGAAGAATATTTCATGTTAGAAAATTTGTTTTATCTAATAACACAGACAATTACAAATTCTGTATCTTCAGATGTGACTTTCTATACATTTTATGAATAATCTATAATGTTTCAACAGATAAATAGATTTCCCAATGGATCTGAACGCTAATTTTATTTTTGACGAGATTCTCTGTCATCATGTTGTTTGAAAATACATATGGGAATAGAAACAACATTTTTACAATGTCAACATATAGTGTAAAAAAGAAGAGAGAATCATTTAGATGATGAGTAGATTGATAAAAGAAAAGAATATTTCTTTTATTAATTAAATTGAATAGTTAAATTATTCGAATTGTAAAAAAAAAGAAAAGTAGAAGTCATTCTGTTCGTACGTGAAAAAATCAATGAAAATTTTCTATGATTCTCATTATAATATCAGCTATTAAATTGTAAAATCTAATGAAATTTTTATTTCTTCATTATTTTCTACTACGAATAAAATCACCTTAGATTATTCCACTCGAGCTTCTCCGGAAGTCAATCAAAATGTATGACAAAAAGTTGTTTCATTAGATGAATTAGAATTAATGATCTCGAAAATATCTGGAAAAATGTTGCATGTCATCTTTAGTATTTAAAAATATGATTCCACGTTGATTAGGTTATTTCGTCCATCTGCATGTATCAATAACAAAAACGGTAATCAATCCAAATGATATATTATTTTTCCAAAATCAACGATTTTGTTATGTTAGTAATCCTAGACGGTAACAAGTCGATAAATAGATTGCTAGAATATGTTTATGAAATTAAGTTTCTCATATATAAACTAACGAAGGAAAGCTAATACATTGTAAGTCATTGTCCATACTTATTTTAAATATGACTCTGAGAAATGCCTTTAGACCTCTATATGGTAGTTTTAAAAAGAAAACTCAAGAGGATTTGTCATAGTCATATTCAAAATCAGCATGATCAATAACTTTCAATCCATTAGTTTTTCGACGAGAAAAAAATTGATTAGTTGAAAAAGTTCCCTCATCCATTATTATTCTGATTTTTATAATAATTTTAAAATCTCAAATTCTACCCTTGTTTTCATAAACAAAAAAAAAAACTTACTTTTTGTACAACATAATTAGCAAATTGATCTTTCATCATGGTTAACAATGCACAATTAGGTCTAAAATATTACAACAAACAAATTTTCGAATTATTATATATGTTAATTTTGTTTTTACCCATCTCCAAATGAAACAACTTCATCAATAAGTTGTCGTTTTTCATCTCGTGTTGCATAAGTGACACATTTTTCAACTACATTACTATAAGAAAAATATTTCTTATTAAACAAACAGACACACACAAAGAGAAAGATTTTTTATTTCTTTTCTTTACCTTGCAAATTTATGTTGTGATAAATGAAGTACCCGTCCCATAATAGCATTTACAATACGACTTCGATCTTCAATTTTACCATGTTCTAATACATGTTGAATAACATAATTTCCTATAAAAAAAAAAAAAAAACTTTATTTTCTTTTCTCGCTTTTCTTTATTTGTACCATATTGATCTTGAACAAGATTTTCTAATTCACTATGTAATATATCAAGTATAGGTCTTGTTTGTGATTCTTTACAATTTTCAAGTATACGTTGTATAACACGACAACCATATGGATGTGCTGATAATTGAAAAACTTGTTTTGTTACATCACGTATTATAAAATCAATATCATCTCCTAAACAACATTCAATACATTTTTGTATAACATGATTTCCATTTTGATCTTCAATACATTTAACAATATTTCCTTCCAATTCTCTTGCGATTTGTATTTGATATTCAGGTTGTAAAGTTTCAACAGCTTTTTGTATAACACGACAACCATACATTTGTAAAGCGAGTGATAAAACATTACCGCGTATACTATGAGCTAAATATGCTTTATGTTCCGGTGAACCAAATTCAAAAAATTTCTAAGAAAAATAAAAAAATAAAACCATTATGACAAAAGTTATTAGAACAATCCCTACGGGATTCAACCGTAAAACATAATATAGCTGCTATTATTAATCACAGAAGGATTGTTTTATTCTGTCTATTTAAGGATACATTCATTAATCTTCCTTTTGCTTAATTTTTCGGAAATGAAATAAGGAAGTAGGTCATTTATTATTACGAGACTTTATTCAGATGGACACTCAAGGTGTCTGTTACATCTGTGGGAGATCCAAATTTCTTTCACTCTCTTTCTGCATTTTAATATTTGCTTTAGATTGTCTTTCATAAAAATAATTTCTTTTTACTTGAATAACATAATTCCCAAAAACATCTGTCATTAATTGTGGCGCATTTGTTATAATTTCTTTAAAAACCATATCTTTTTCAGCATTTGTTGCACGTTCAAGTTTTTGTTGAATAAATCTTGAACCATGTTGATCCATTGAAAATTCAGCAAAATGTCCAATTACATCACGTAATTGTAAATTTGGCATACGACTATTACGAAAATCATCTAATAATTTACTTCGTGTTATAACAGAATCACGTCCTGAATTTGATATTGTATTATTACCACGTATATTATTATTATTATTTCCTGATCCACCAAAAACATTTGGTGCATAATAATTAGGCATTGGTCCACTAAGACCACCAACACTACGACGTCCAGTATATACATCATTACCATTAAGCATTGCTTGCTGTGGTGGTACGGTTGTTTGTCCTGGTTGATTTTGTGGTGGAAAAAATCTTGCATTAAACATTCCATCAAATGTATTTGTATTAGATGATGGTGGTGGTGTCATTGAAGGCATTAAATTATTGTATGCAGGTGATGGAGGTAAACCACCGGGTAATTGACCATGATATAACGGTGTTTGTTGTTGCTGTTGTTGTTGAATTGGTTTTGTTAAACGAGGATCCGTAACAAGACGAGAAAAATCAGGTAATTGTGCATCACGCCGTTGAGTTGGAACAGTATAAACATCTAGAGATATTATGTATCTTTACATAATGAACTTTCCTAGAGCTAATATTTATATGTTAAGTTACTCAAGCCGAATTTAGGCAACAAAATGTCGATATTAAGCTTTTTTTCTCTGAGCATATATAGATTTTTGAAAATAATCGATTTACTTTGTATAAGCGATGTGATAGAGTACGAAAAATTCTCATACAGTTACAGTGAGATTTGCTAATTAATTTTTAATCGATTGTCAACTGAAAGAGTCAACATTTTCCATATGTCAATGCCAAAAGAACGTATTCAGAATATGAATTATGATATTAAAGAATCTCATTATTTCTCATACTTATTTTTGTTTTTCTTTTTTTTTTTGATAAATTTTCATCGAAAATCAACAGTCATATGAAAATCTCTCGAATAACTCAAATCGATAAAATTTATTATTTCTAACAATGTTATAAAAAACTGTTTAAATCAAGCTTTACATTCGAATTCATATGTTAAGCGCATAGAGAATGTGTTCAAATGTGATGTATAATTTCGAATCTTTTTTTCTTAAACGATAAGTAATGGTAATATACATACCATTGAATGAACTTGAAAGTGAACTTGCTACTGGACTACCATATAAACCACCTTGATTATTTGTATTAACTGAAATATATATATAAAGGTATGAATTTAATATTGAAATAAAATACCTGGCATTGGTACTTGTTGTGGATACATACGAAGTCCTGGTGATCCTGTTGGTTGTCGTGTACTTGGCATCATAATACTTGGATCAAGAAATGTTGGTGAAGCAGCAGCAAAAAATGGAAAATTGACTTAAAAAAAATTATCGAAATAACAAAAAAAAATGAAAATATTTTTATGTTTTATTACCTGGTGTTTGTGTTGTACGTTGCATATTCATATATTGTTGTGCTTGTTGATTAGATTGTGATGTACTTAATATATCACCTGAATTTGTTGGTGTTAACGGACGATTATTATTATTTGCTTTCGATTGTGGTGATTGTTGTTCATTAGTTGTTGTTTGTTGTTGCGCTAACATGGCTTGTGGTGGTGGTGCTGGAAAAACAAGAGCTGTTGGTAATGCTGACCAATATTGTGGTTGACCCAGTAATGATGGAAGTGTTGCTGGTGATTGATGATAATTTTGTAATTGTTGTAAATAATTATCTTGATTACTATTTATAATATATTGATTTGATGATGCATATGGTGATTGTTGATTAGCTGTTTGTTGTTGAGCAGCCATTGTATTTGATAACCATGACATAAGTGGTGTTTGAGCTAAATTTGCTAATTGAGGATCTTGTTGATTCGTTCCATTTGCTTGTGGATTGAATGCTGTCATTATTGATTGACTTTCAAATCTTTTAAAATAAAAATTGTAATAATTTACTCCGAGATATATATATATGTAAATAGATATTTTTTGTTCCGAAGTAGTTCTAATCAATTGATACTTAAGCTGAATGCGATTTGTACGGTAGAGTTTATTTTCATACGGTAACAGAGATAATTGGTAATTAGTTTTTAATTCATAAGTGTATATGATCGGTTTTGCTTGAAATACACTGTACAAGTTTTTGAAAAATTATTATCGCTTATTAGCAATGAAAACTAATACATTTTAACCAGTGTTTTTATCAAGACTATGTCTTCCGGAAGGGTGATACAATAATCACAAACTCCCGGAAGGCGGCACTGTCCACGCTAGATAAACAACTGACTTGAACTATTTCTGTGTTTCATCAAACTAAAAAAGAATCCCGTCGTGAAGAAATTATTATATCACTTACGATTGAGGTTGAATTAATGTATAATCAAATGTTTGAAAATTTGTTGTTGGTTGATTCATATCATAATGAGCTGCTTGTTGTTGTTGTTGAGAAACAATATGATATTGAGGTGGATAACTGAAAAAGATAAACATGGATTTCTATGTTCATATGGCTATTAGTTTTTTTTTTCAGGATGAAAAAATTTTTTTCTCTAAGTACGTTAACTCTATTCTTGCTACAGATTGTGACATTTTTCTTAACTTACGCTTGTTGTTGCGGATAAAGCAGCATCTGTTGCTGACTATTAGCTTGCATCCGTTGAAAAGGTATAGGCACTGATGCTGTAGGCGCGCCATTCATTATTAAATGTGATGGTGTTATTAAACCATCATTTGTATCATCACCAGCACCAATCGGATTTGTTGATGGAAGATTTTCATTATTAGTACTATTTGTTAAATCATTATTAACATGTCCTGGTGATGAACGTGGTGTTTGTTTACGATTTGATTCTGTTTCACTTGTTTTATCATCAGATTTAACATCATAAACAGTTGAATTATCAACAGCTTTTTTATTATTATCACTGTCAGTCTAAATAAAAAAAAAAAAACAACAAAAAAAAAAGAAATATAAATATATATGTAGACATGTGTTAGAATAGTCGAAAAGACTAATGTATTTATCATACCATTAATCGAAAATAATCAACTATTTCTATTTATTCTAGGCTAATCGATAACACCATTGTTCTGATTTAAAATGTAAACAATGGTAACGCCTGACGATAGCCATTGACAGAAGATAGAATCGAACCCATATGATACGAACTTTTAACCACTAAACTATCTATGATCTGTTTCTTTCACTTACATAAATCTTCATATTTTGCATATGTTGAGTAACATCTTTAATAGCCGAATCTTTTACACGTGGTGAATTATCTCCTTCTAATATATTAATACACATATTAATCCCCAGATTAGCTGGATCAGTTGATTTTGGTGAAAAAACAACGCCATGAGGATCAGCATAGCCTGATGTTAGATCCGATTGCCGATTTGGCATATTAATCGGTGCTGATCGTTCTAAATAAATTTAAAAAAAAAAAAAATTTTTTTCAAACAAAATTAATATCATTTTTTTTTACCATTGGTAGTGTAATCATTGGTACCCTGTGATGGCCACATATGTTAACTATGTAAATGAAACATGTAATGTTTTAAAAATGTAGTTATGATGTAACTTACTATATTAATATAAACAAACACTAATAATTAAACAGAAAAAAAACACAATAATAAATCAGCCGGTTTATTACGCTTGATAATATTCTTGTTTTTTTTTTTTTACATAGAGGTACACAGGGATGTAATGTCAAAGAAGAATACACACGGAACAGGGAAAAGATAGACAAGGCCTATGTACACTATGAACAGTAGAAAACGGGGCGACGACGGCGACGACGCGCGACGAGTTGACTCTTAGAAAATACACACGAATACAGTATAATAAACAATGACCAAAAACTTGTAAACAATCAACATATAAGTCGAACAATTACGGACGTGTTTTTTTTTTCCGTTCTTTGTGTGCTAGACTGCCATGAGATTGATAGCGAACCTTCAAAAAACAAAAATTAGAAATATATCAAATAAAATCATAAGAAAAGATTTCGTTTTGAGTAAATTAATAATAATGAAAAATCTAAGATAAATTCTAAATTTTCAATAATAGATGTCGTTAATGGATAGTAAAAAATAAGATATAACTCATTAAAGTTCTGATTTTCATTTCAAAGATGATTAGTTTATAGCTAAAAAAATAGAACTTAGCGTTTTCACTTTAAAAGAATTAATTTAATCAATATTTAGGTATAAATAAATATTCAAAAAAATAATAATTGGTCATATGAAGAAATGTCCTTACTTTATTATCGCTATAACCTCGTGTATTTCGTACTCCACCTATGATAAGTTACTCAAAAGAGCATATAACCCATTTGCTTTTTTTTTTGCGTTCTACGTGCCTCAAATCAAACGTCATTCAACAATCTGAATACCACGACAGCTGCATTGTGCATTCATAAATTGATGATAATGTATTTTGTTCGAACGTTATCTTTATTCGGTTTTCTCTTGAGTTTATCTTGACAGATAATCTTATATCTCAAATATATTTCATTTTTTGTCTATATTAAAGTTCAAATTAGTGACTCATCACACTTTATAAAAGATGAACAATACATAGAAACATCTGTATATTAGGCAAATTATAATGATAGGAAAAAGAATCGATGTGTATGATATAATATATAGGAAGTAGTATAAGAAAGACTCAGATATTGGTAAGTTACTCATATCAAATGGCTTACATCTTTTCTCAAATATCAAATTATCTTGTAAATAATAATGCTGTTGAGCAAG